ATGGCTTTAGCTCGTGACAAAAGGCAGTGATATTGCAATATCATTAACCGCCTGCACAAGCAAAACACTAGCCAAAGGTTTTATATCTTGCAGGCATTTCGGAACTGCCTTTAAATATCCTCCAGGCAGTTCAGCTCAGACAAATGTATGGCAGCCGAGCTGCACACAGCAAAGTGCATTTGTATACAGAGCGCACGACCACAACATCATGTCAGACACAAACTTAAAAACCACCTCTGTAGTTTTAAGCTAAAAAAAGTATGCGCTGCCTTTCCTCACGAAGCTACCCATCCATCTTGTGCGCAACGCATTGCCTTGTCCCAATGTTGGCAAGAGCCTGCAACATCTACGACAGTGCCAGCCACATATACGCGTGGCACAGATCTGAGTATTGCGGAATAGTCTTTGAAGTGAAAGGCAAGCATTAAAGCGGCCTGCCACACGACAAACACACAGGTCATCCCACCTGATCATGCGCTAGTCCTATTTAATAAGTAGGCTCAAGTCCTAGTGCCAGTGCACACACCACCCTGATGCCGCACCAACTTTCAAGAGACGTCACACAAAAAAGCCTGAAGCATTTTATTCCCTTTTTGCAAAGGAGTGGAAAATGAATCCCCTGGTCCATGCTGTACAGCGCCCACCAACCACACCCTTCAGGGCAGTGCGCTACACCTGTCCCATCACAACTAGCCCACAACATCGCTGGCAGCTTAAGTCAACCTGGAAGAGCCTTTGAGAAATGCTCCATATGCAACACACTTCGAATGATCCTCTGCAGCCTACGCAGCTTGCCCAACCCACCGCTAGCCAAGCATTCAACGAGACAGCATGAAATAGCCGCATGCAGACATTCTTTGCAACGTTACCAGCGCACTCAATAAACATATTAAAATCTGCTTCCCATGCTCGCGATGTATCCTGCTGCGTACAGTCACATGCCTGCAGGTAAAAGTTGCATATTCGCCTTGCATCACCCAAGATCTACCCACACAGCGTCCCGCTAAAAACAATACCTACTTGTTAGCTAGCGCTCCTCGACAAAAAGGCGACAAAATCCCTGCTTCCAAATACGCCATACGGGCATCGAATGAATGCGTCACTCCGGCGCTTTTGCTGAATAGGTCTTTTTGATCAAGGTGCTCAAGTAGGGCCCATACAGGCCCTCATAGACACAAGAGGATCTGACGCGCATAAGCCTGACTGGATATGCAGCCGCCCACATACTTCTGTCAAGCAACAGCCTACATCCTGCGTTCACACATTTGATACGTGTAAATTCCCATAATACTACTCAGCGAAGTGAATTGTAGAGGCACCTGAGGAAATAAGGTCAAACTGATCTATTCTGATCTAACACACCCACCATATGCACTCACATAAAAATAATGTATGACAGGCTTCCTCAAACCCTATTTCAGTTAGATTCTAGTCTCCCCTTATGCATCACGCATTGATCTTGCATCAGTGTCACCACTGACACCACTGTATTAAGACCAACACGCAACAAATACAACGTGCAGGCAAGAGACAGCAACAATTACCAGCCATTGCACACCCCACCGTGTGCGAAGTTTCTTTGCGAAACCAGCAATTGGCGCTGTTCAGAAAAGACTGGAAGCAGTTGCAAGCGATTCAACCAACGCAAGATCGTACCACACTCTAAGCTATAATCTAGCTGGTCTATCGTCGGCACCAGTTCCCAGTTCATGCGACAAGCTTCATGCGCAATGACTCTCATTCCTGCTGTTGGGTACTCAGGAATCAGTATGCTACAATATTCAATCCGCTATCGGAGACGCTTCGTTTCTAATGTAGAACACAAAGTTACAGAAAACTTTCTACTACACTAGTTATACTTTCCTAAGCAATGGCAAAAACGTGGCTGATTGATATGAATATTCGTATACCTTATTTTTTTTGGCTGAGTGATGCTCGCTCAATAAAAGGAAACGCATTGTATTCTCTGTGTAGCACATCGTTAAAAAAGGTCTCCGTATTAAGGCACTTGACTCCAGACCCATTACACATTTCTTAGAAAGTTAAAGAGTGTTTCTCAAAGCAACTTGTGCTTTTTCCTGCCCAAACCCCCAAGAATTCCGGACGTGAGGAGCGAGACACACGTACGTTGCACTTTGTTATGCACTACACAAATAGAAGCACAAGGCAACTAGCGCACACGTGCACATCAATGCATCTTCTTGTATCCAAGTAATATTACTATGCAATAAATACGGATACGAGAAGGCAAATCCTATATTAAACTCTGTAGTAACTTTCATGAAGCTATGCTAATCTACTTGAGAGTGCTGAAGTACAGCTTACCTCGGTTTTCGAACACGACCCTGATTCGTTTTGTATTACACCGACCGTACTCTGCATTAAATATGTTGCACGAATAGCCTAGAAAATCACTGATTAATTCATAATTCTTTATTGGCAGGCTCACCTGCTTCCTGATTATCTTGCAAGAGGATCAAAGTTGTGTCTACGCCAAGATAGCTGGGAATGGCGGTATATCTTGGTATTCTCAGTCTTCAGTTCTCAATAAATCCAACTCTGAAGTGAGTGTATTAGCTGCTAATATCCAGAGCTTTATTTCTTTCCATCACTAACTGCTCCTTTTGTAACGATTCGCTCTGTGTGCATGAATTATTTCATCAAGGGGCATAGTCTGGGGGAAAAATGTTAGCATCCACCATAATCTTGCGAACTCTTGTTCATCAACTTTTTGTTGAAATTTAAGAATAACATATGCGCTGTTTGCAAACTTCATACCCACATGTTCTATCCATGCCTCTTTTTAATGCGTGTGCCAGAGAGGGTACCACCCATGCATAGATGCATATCAAAAATTCCAAGAAAGACAGCTCCTTTGCATATTTGGCTTATGGTTACTTTGTTTCCGGTATAAGAGAAAACTTGCTGCTTTTTCCTGTTTCCCTCTGCGCCCGCTCCTCCCCTTGGTTGCTCTCAAAAGCAGATGATCGTTGAAATTCTCAGGGCACACTTGCCTTTACCTCCTTTGTTTTCCTTAGTCAAACTGTTCTCTACGTCTTCTCTAACAGCATTTGGTTGATTAAAGGTACTCCTTCGTGGCCAGGGAAAATGTATCGCTGCGGTGGCTCTCAAGGAAGCGGGATGCTCGGCTCCATCCGCTTTATTTTGTGTTTTGTTGCGCTCATCTCGCCGTCATCTGCAGCCGTAGAAAGGTTTTGGAAGACCCTGAAGGTTCAGAGTTAGGAAGAGAACAGTTTGCTGCCTCCTGGCTCCCGTACCCTGCTGTGGATCGCCTCCCAACCGAGTGCATGGAGCTAGCTATGCCTGCCGTATCAGGGAGAATTACCGTGCTAACAGGAGCTCTGCTAGTGCTGCTGTATTTATCTTAAACAGAGCGGAGGGTGACAAAAGAACACCAGCCGCAAAAAATTGGAGCATGAGTCAACTCGGGCCAAGATAGACTTGCCGATATGCTCGAAAAGCACGCGAGGATTGCAAGTACCAGCGTAGGGCAGAAAGAACTTTTGCTTAGCGGCCCTCTTGCTGTGTACTCTTGACAGCTGTGGTGTGCATTGTGGGTGGCACTATAGATCTGCTCCGGTCCACAAACGGGCGAGTAAAGCATAAAAAGCACTTTTTCGTGCCTAAAAGAGCTCCCTCTCTGCACCTTTCTGCGGTGTTCGTTTCCTCCTGGAACTCACATTAGTTTTAGGGATTATGCAAGAAGACAGCTGTTCACCTCGCTGTACTTCGAAAGGGTTTTACTGGTCAACTACAGAAATTCGTCTGCAGTTTATCCTTTAAAAAAGCAAATGGACAGATTATTGGTTCAATTAGGCAGAAGAGTCTCCGGGTGGCAGGGCTGGGGTCAGCCTTCCCATCTGGGAGCCTCGTGGAGATACGGACCAGTTTGTCCAGCAGGCGGCCCCACATTTCGGGGTTTACAGAATATTGGCTTATGAGTCTCCAGCTACTTGAAATTTACTTTATATTAAAGGTTCTGCCAAAAGGTCGGCCTTGGCTTTGTTGAAGCCATCGCAGTGCGCGGGCACTTCGATTAAAGAAGGCGGTGTCAAGGGGACTGCTAGGGCCCCCATTACAAAGGGTGGCGGTGGAGGGAAGGGTCCACGATTATCCACTGCGGCTCTTTGCTCTGCTGTAGCCCCACAAGACGCAGCAAGAAAGATTGACGTCGCCCCAGCCTCTCTAGTTCCGTCGTACTGCTGCTTCCGCTAAAGGAGTTGCAGTTGCTGCTACTGGTGTTACTGGTGGGGATACTGCTGTAAGGGAAAGCAGCAAAAGCATCGGCTGAGGCCGATTGCGTACGGGTGCTCTTAGAGCCACTGCAGTTCTCCGTGGGAAGAGTGCTAGGGAAGATCGGTAGAGTTTGGAGCTGGTAGGGGAAGGCAAGGAGACGGAAAAGGGAAAGAAGAAGGGAGCGAGCCTCCTGACGCAACAGAGGGGCTGGCGGAGCGATGCTACTGCCGCCAAAGACAGAAAACATGAAGCCCTGAAAGCATGAACAAAAGAGTCAGATTGAGGCCAGGGCATGAGCCATGCGACTATGAGGAAAGAGCGGGAGAGAATGACAGACTCGAGGAGTGGGATTGGTGCAAAAGAAGGAACCAAAAAAGCGAGGGCAAATCAAGGAGATGGGTACGGAGGGCCTCTTAGGGGGGGAAAGGGGGGCTGAACAGTGGCTGGGCGCGTCTAGAGACAGCGGCGGCACATCATGAAGGCCAAAAGGACAGGGGGATCGCTTTCAAGAAGGGAAAAGCAGGGGACCGCACATGTGGATCTCTGAGATGGACAGGCACCAGGGCCCCCTCTTCGTCCCTCAGCAAAAGCGGCAAGTCGTAGCTGAGGCAGCAACACCCTCATCCTCACACATACACTGGCTGCGCCGCTGCTGCTGCAGCTCTACGTACCACAGGCGGCTCTGCCAACGGTACTGCTGCACCGCTGTTGCTGCGGCTGCGGCAGCAGTCACGCGGATAACCCTACCTGAGCATAAGATCCTCATGTCCACAAACAGTACAGCATGTGCTGCCGCTGTTGCCGCTGCTGAAAATGCGCTGTGCCGTTTTACCGCAGGCAACACACGCAGCTGAAATCCACGTGCAAGGGTCACTTGCAACTAGACCCTCTGCTGCGGCGAAGCCGCGAAAAGCCACTCCTTTCAACAGCACGGGGAGACTGAAGCCCTGGTTCATCTGCTGAGACCAAACAGCAGCAACACCAGCAATGGAGTGAACAAGAGCATGAGACAGCAGGAGCAAGGGAAGGAACGGCAACATCCCATCTGGCACTGCCTCATCAACGAGAGCACTGCCGCAATAGCAGGGTCGGGATCAGAAAAAGATGTCAGAACCCAACTATAGCAGCAGCAAGGGCGGCCGTGTCGACAGGAGCTGAAGCAGCAGGAGCAGCAGCAATGCGAGCAGCTGCTACTTACTTCAGCAGCAAGAAGGGCTAGTTCCTTGCAGTTGTGCGCCACAGCCGCAACAGCTCGGTGCTGCTGCGGAGCAACAAACGCGAAACAAACAGTAGGAGAACTCGGCTGCTGCTCTTGTTGGTGTTCATGGTCTTGTTGCTGGGCAGCCCCCTGTGCAGGCAGTGCCCGTGGGCAGTGTTGTTGCATCTGCTGCTGCTCTGGTGGCTTTGGATGCTGCTGCTGAAGAGAGCTCCCCGCATGCGCCTCCGCATTGCAGGAGGAGCTCCCTTCTGCATGCTCGTGAAACCCCTGCTGCTGCTGATGAAGGCGTCTTTGACCCTGCTGGAGCGACTGCTGCTGCTGGAAGCGCTGGAGCTTGCGTTTGGCCTCTCTGAGCAAAGCTCTTCTCTCAACAACATCAGCGCACCAGAGAGGAAGCCGGGTTAGCTGCGTCAGAGCAAGCCAGAAGAATGAGCACCCCAGAAGCCGACAGTAAGCGCGGAGAGACCTCTTGAGACATCCCGAACGAGTTTCCCAAAAGTCATATCTTGAAGCTTCAAGATTAGCGGGGAGGCGCAATTACCTGGGCCCTGTCGGGTGCAGTCCAGCCAAGTGCAGCCAGGAGCCTCCCCTGCTTGTCTGTGAGGTCTTGTCTACTGAAGGATACGTTCCTCAAGCGCAGCCACTCCCCCTGCTGCAGTGCGCTGTCTCCGTAGCTAGCCAGGTGTTGGAGCATTGGCGAAGAGACCGAAGCCACAGCAACTCCACCCCCCACCCAGGATGCGTCTTCCACCAACAACCAGTAGCTGCAGCAACACATGCTGCTGCTCGCAGTCGTCGTGGAGCTGCCGCCGTTGCCAACAGCTAGAGCCGGACCAAAGCTTGCCTTCACAACCTGAAGAACGCACAGATGCAAGAGCAACGACTCCACCGCCGCTCGTGCAAACCACCGCCACAAGCAGGAGACAGGCAGAGCACCGCCAGCAGCACAAGTGTGTTACCCTGACGACGACATCTCCAAAAGCTCCTTCCCCCCTTCGGTAGAGGGTCCTCAGATCCGCAGTGTAGCGCGACGAAAACACTGAGGACACAAAGCCTAACCCCGAAAGCCTAGCAGAAGGCTAACCGAGAGGCAACGGAGCTGCTTCCTTTCCCGGAGCGTAGTACTTCAATAAGGGCTTGGAGCTTGAAAATCGGAGATTGGGGCGTTGTGGCTGGGGCTTACCGGTGTCTGTACAGAAGACGCTGTTCACGAATCTGTTGAGCGAATGAATCACTGCCACGTCAACTTCGGAGAAGGAGCTGCTCCTGCCCCTGTCTCCGATCACTGCCATCCGATCTGTCCGCAAAAGGAGAGCGAGCTCAACGTCGAGATTCAAACACACGCTCTAAGAATCCCGCCGAGCTGCGGCGTGGAGCATTCGCTGCAGAACTCAGCAGATTTTCCTAGGCTCAGACAGCTTCTACAGCGCACTGACTCAATAAAGTCTTCGCTTTCTCCTCAGCGCTCAAGCTCTCTTCCTTCTGAAGGGCACGGGGCCCCAGGGGGCCCCACACCCTCACGGCGGCGGCCCATGTGGGGAAAAGATCGCCAAAAAAACGGCCTCCACCGCCTTCTTTGAAATGCAGCTACGCCACAAAAAATTCCTCGATCCCAGCCCTTTCCCATGAGCCTAGCGAGTCTGGTTCGACAGGTCTCAGTGTGCAAAGCCGAGGAGCTTGAACTGAATCATACTGGCTCTACAGCTGGTGTTGTGCGTGGAGCCTCCATATTTTACACTCACCACCACTCTGTGGAGACGCAGGATGCTCCCAGCCAGCATGAACGGCAGCGACGCGCCGCCTCCAGTCCCTCGTAGCTGCGGCAGCATCACCAGCAGCACCGCAAATTGCGATCGTAGAAAACTCCCCAGATGGCGGGCGCAGGAATCCAGCACAGATCTCTGCGCTTCTTCTTCCCTGCTCCACACCGCACCGAGCGACGCTTCAGTGCCCCTTTCCTCAAGCCGCTTGCTGCGCTGGCTGGCTGCTCGGAGACTGACCTGCAGGCTGAACTCTGCTGCCTTGGGACGCTCAAGGGGCCCCTGGAGGGAGTCGTCAACAACTCGCACGTTCATGTAGCACACGGCTGCGAAAAAACCACCCCAACCCCCAAAGCCTATGCCGCATACGGAAGGCTTGAAGCCTAGAATCATAAAAACCAACATGAATAAAATCGTCAAACTCGATTACCTACTGTCGGTTTCTTGGGGGGCCCTGCGCATTTCCCAGTACACGCAATAAACGTCGACCTGCGTACATGCAGAAAAGCGCAAATGCCTCATGCCCTGACCCCACCCCTTAGGCTTAAATCCTTAAAATGCTGCAGCTTAGTACGGCAGCTTGCGGCATGTGTTTGGAGTCCACTCTTCAGGAGGAGGGTGGCACTCATGTAAATGCGTTGCGGAGGAAACGCCTTCACCCGAATTGGGAGGGGGGCCCTTGAAACTCTCTACGAGCACTCTTTGGTCCTATCGGACTGTGTGGCTTACTACGTCGCTCTTCTGGATGTGAGACAGCGGAGTGTAGATATGCTGCTTCGCCGGCCGCATCCTTTGCTGCTGCTGGTGCTGCGGGTGGTCTGTCGCTGCAGCCCGAGCGGCGTGCTCTTCTCCGTCCGCCTCTGGATGCTGCTGCTGCTGTAAAGGGTGTTGCTGCTGCTGCAGCTGCGGCATAAGGTGCTGCAGCAGCGCTCGAGGCAGCCGCTGTTGCACCCACTGGGGAGGCCTTAAGGCACCACAAGGGGCTCTAAAACAGTCTCCATTCAGCAGCAGCCCAGTGGGTGCAGAAGAAGGGCGAACGTGAGCCTGCCGCAACACACGAAGCAGCCAATGCATCCCACATGCCCCTGTTTGATTAGGCGCTTCTTGAGCAGGAGGCTGCCGCTGCCCCTGCTCCGCAGCAGCGACCAGCCGGTAGTTCTTCAGTCCTGTGCATCGTCTCTCTGGGCGTCTTTCCAGGATACAGGAGAGTCTCTTCAAGGCTGCAGAACCGCATTCTTGAGTCTAAAGGGAATAGCCGAAGACTTTGGAATTGATTTCCCCCCTTCCCTTCTTCTCAATGCTTACTGCAGCTTCTGGGGAGTCGTCCACTAGGGCGAAGAAGGAGGTCGTGCATACCCGTCCCTTTTGAAACCACTCAGGCACCTCGCGCTGGTGGAGATGCTGCTGCTGCTGCGGAGGCGCAGCAGCAGGCATAGGCAGGGGGGCCCCTGGGGCCCCCGGATGCCCACAGACATCACACATTTTCCGGGTGAAGGTTTTGTGTGCCCAGCTGGAGGGAGTCAATGGCAGCAGATATGCTTGCTGTAGAACGAGTTCGTCCTGAGCATCCGCACAGTACTAAACTTTCTCCAATTACCGAGCAGCGAGACGCTGGCGTGAGACAGATGTCTGACTTTAAAAACACAGCGGCACAAGAGGGAGACCCCTTCTTCTACATCCCCTGCAGCAGCAGCGACTGTTGCTTGCTGCCGCTGAAGGAGAAGGAAGAGAAGGAGGACGAAGGAAGAGAAGGAGGATCGGTCTGCTTACCCCGTCGGCAAGGAGAACATTGAGGTATTTGGCAAAGTTTCCTCCAACCTGGAGCAGCACGAACTTCTGCCGGAGCATGCAATTCAGCAGTTCTCGATGCTGTGGCTCCTCCTGATGCAGCTGCACTTCTTGCTGCGGTCGTTGAGGTAGCTGCTGCTGCACATTGTCCAGTCGTATCACCAGCAGCAATGCGTCTTCAATTCGATTGGCTTTAGGATCACTCCCTGTACAGTGAGCCAGCAGGGCAGCGACAGAGCCACTCACGCTGTATCTGGTGATGCTCAGGGTGCTTTTCTTGCTGCACATGCTGCTGCTGCTATCCCACGGCAAGTCGAGTGAACCATTAGCAACCGCAGCAGCAGCAGCCGCTGCTGCTGATGTTACCGCTTGGAGAGGCGGACTCGACACAGACGCAAAATGCTGATATTGGAGCGACTGCTGCTGTTGTTGTTGTTGTAGCTGTTGTTGCTGCTGTTGCTGCTGTTCATGCTGCAGCAACTGCTCTTGTGAGTCGAAGAAGGAGAGTGAAAACGCCTGAGAAGACACATTCTTCCCAACGCCAGTTGTTGCAGCAGCCGCAGCTGCAGAAGTCGCTGCCGCTGTGCCGGGGGGTTGGGGGCAAAGGCTGCTGATCGATCCATCCTTAGGTTCCACCGTTGCGCAGTAAATTTCTTCAGAAGAGGGCTGTGTCTGTACACCCGATGCTCCTGCTGAGGCCTCTACGGTGGGCTCCGCAGCAGGAGCAGCGTCAGCAGAAGCAGCGTCGGAAGCAGCAGCAGCAGCAGCGAAACTCGATTCTGCAGCAGGTACAGTGCGTGGCGTCTGGGGGGCAGAGTAAAACGCCTCTGAGCCCTCGTCCACTTCAGGATTGTCGTCCTCCTGCTGCTGCTGCAGCTGCTGCCGTCTTTGTTGCATCCCGAGTTGCTGCTGCTGAGTGGACGAAGTGTTGCGTGACGAGCCATTTTCAGGCAAGCGCAACTGGTTGGTACTTCCACTTCGCGTCCGTTCGAGCGGGGCGCTCGTTGGTGCTACTGGTCCTGCAACACCTGCCTCATCCGATGCAGCATGCTGCAACAAACCTTGGAACGGGGGGGTACTTCCGGCAGCTCCGTAAGAGGCTCGATGCGTTGCCTCTGCTGATGCTGCTGCTGCTGTCGTCGTGGCTATTGCTGCAGAGCTGTGACTACGACGGGAGTGCTGATGGCTGGAAGGGCCTTCCTCCGCAGAGCTTCTGGACGCTTCCCGCTTTCGCGTGCAACTCCTGTCACTGCTGTCAATACAGCTGGCCTTCTCGGCGTCATCTGATGGTACTGGGGGGCTGCTTGTGCGTCCTAGTGAGCGTTCACTTGCCCGTTCTGCTGCTGAATAGGGGGCCCCTCCGGCACTCCCCGTAGGAGGCGCAGCCATGATTGCGAGTCTACCATCCACAGAGTGCTCGTGGGCTGCTGCTGGTACAGCTGGAACTCATGGACTGGAAATGCTACTGCATGGACCGCTGCCGCTTCTCTTGCTGGTGCTGCCTCGGTGTGCGTCGTGTTGCAGGGGCCCCTGCCTTTTGCACAGGCAATCCTTTGAAAGAACACCTTTCGACGATGCTACTTATCCGCTTGGGCAGTGCCGTGATGGCTCTTCGGTCGTACGGGGAAGCCTATTCCCACGCAGTGGTGTGGGTAGTATTGCGGTGGGGTTGCTGCTTATGCACAGACTTTTTCCGCCGTTCCCGTGCGCACAATATTGCAGATGAACTGCACATGAACATTCAATGCATCTCTCCTTCTATGGACGCATTTGAACGCAGCCAGCAAGCGCCTCCCGTACGGCAGGGTGTGATGGGGCCCCCGGTGGGCCCCATCGTTTTCTTAGAGCGTCTCTACGGCTGGCATCGGACCAGCTTCCCAGGTTCCTTGTATGCCAACCAAAATTTAAATATTCAGAAAAGAGGATACTAAATCCTCAACGGTCGCCTAGGAATAGGCTTCCCTTGGGGCGCTGTGGGAGGCTCTACTCCGTGCGACACAATACCTTGTTGGGGGGCCCCCTATTTGCAACTGTGCAAATTGTAAGCCCAACGCCTTAGAATATGCGGATTACCCATGTTAGAAGACACTTTTGTCTGACTAGTGGCTTGTATTCTAGCAGTCTCTCTGCATCGTTCGTAGGGGAGCCCTCGCGAACTCGGAAAAAGTTCGCCTTCAATGTTGCATTGTACCCTTTTTGCCCGTGGAACCCCATGAACTCACAATAAAAAAGCTCTCACCCTTTTTGCTCGTGGAACCCCATGAACTCACAATAAAAAAAACCCTGTGGTGGCATCTAAGACAGGGAATGCATCTAGTAGTAACAGCAGTACGCAGAACGGCAACAACTCGCACCCGCAGTGTAGCTGGCCAAGTTAACGTTGAAGCACTTTCTGCTAGACTGGCTACATCTGACTCAAGATTAGAAAACAATTGATAAATTGGTTTGAGTCTTCGCACGCCTTATCTAGTGCAGAGTAGCCTTAGCTCTGGACTCAAGAGGACGCAATGTAGTGGGTGTGTGCTCTTGAGTCAATGCAGAACTACATGTGAATACTGGGAGTGCCTCGAGGGTGCAGCAACGCACACTGTAGCTGTCCCTCTTCTATCGTGTCTAGAATTATAAGGGGCGAGGGCGTGGTAGGGAGAAAGGTATTTTGAGGCGCATGCGAAAGCTTCCTATTTAGTTTGGGCTGAGTCAGAAGTTATGTCTTCTCCTACCAGCCCTAAGAAGGGAAGCTACAGTTGGTATCACTTCATGGTTCAATGCAGATGTTCCCCGCTTACCGACTTTCTGAGGCAGTGGGACTCCAGGTTTCTCCACAGCGACTTTCTGGTTTTGATCAAGTTATTCCGTATTTTACTATTTGATTTCCTTCTTCCACCGTTCATGGGAATAGATACTGATGGTGGGATTACGCCTTTGGGGCGGTAGAGGCAGGCCCGCGAGCTAATCTGAGCGCAGCAGTTGCTTCATAGCTGGTAAAAGGCCATGAATCATCAGCCGAAAACGTGTCTATGGGGCGTAGATGAGGTCATGCAGACCAGCGTTTACCGCCTCCCTGCTCCAGACTGGGGAGTCCTTCGGTCCAGGCCTTTCCTGATTTTTGGGGGCCAGTGGACACCCTGTGTGGCAAAAGAATTCACAGAACACGCATCTAGTCTACGCTAATGCATCTGCGAAGCAGGAGTGAAATCTGCACGCTAGTATGATAAGCAGCTGCCGGCCGTGTGCTTTGAGCCTGGTGATTCCATTTCGGTGGATTGGCACACTGTACTAGATGCAGGTGACCAGACAGGGACGATTGCTGCCAGCTGGCTAGGAACGTGGGTTGCTTTTTCCAAACGACTGCACTACCTTACTCCACCAATTTGCCTGGAAGTTGGGAACGCCAGAGAGCTACCAGCAGTGGATTCCTGAGGAAGTTCGAAGGTGCCCCAAAGTATGGGTGAACTTTGTTGCTAAGCCAAGTGAAGCGTACAGAGGTGCAGGGTCCTCAAGTTTCCGTGAAAGTGGTGATTTTTAAGCCTATGGAGAAACCCGGGACAAATTAAACAGGGGGTTTTACTAAAATAGTGTGGGAAACGCCAACCGCAGAGTTTGACAAAAGAGCGAATGCGGCCTTCTTGGATGAGCAAAAGCTGCGCTCTTTTTCGGCTCAAAAAACTTGTCCTCATAGACTACAATTACCGGGGAATGCGGATATCTCTACTTCAAATAATTATCTTTAGCTGCAAGCCTTGCTTGGGGAGTCCTTGGCTACTAGTATTATGCACCATCAACATTCAGATTGAAGTTTAGGCACTCTCAGGTATGTGGTCTCCAAGGTCTTGCATACGCCTCGTTCGAACTTACAAATCGACTCTATAATGCATGAGCTGACTGCATTGGCATGCACACATTGCCCTGTGAGGCGCGGAGGCATTGCTGCGCTAGTGAGCATTTTGATTCCCTTAACATATTATACTTGCTTTCTATTGTCTCAGAGCAGGAGTCCCACACATGTTAGCGCTCAGAACGCCGCGAGCTAGCGCACCTCCGCCTACTTGTTCGGCAGGTCCTGTTCTTGTTGTTAGCCAGTGCTTCCCTCATATTTCTCTTTATGAGCTTCCACTCGCTTTGTTTTTTTCACTTGCATTGCGGTTCGCGGTTCTGCTGTTCCGGGGAGTGGCGATCGGAGGATAACTCCTTCGCTATTCCCTGCGCAGTTGATCTCGACGAACACGCATAAAACACGATGGCTTCTATTTCGAAATTGGGGAAAGATACAGCGGGCCAAGGTACATTAAGGCATCTTCCTCTACAGCTGCTACAGTTCATAAAGAGTTAGTAAACAGTTGAATGCCTGCTTAGTTTGTGTATCTCATTTATAGCAAGGTGATGTTACCTCAACATCGTAAGGATCAGTGCAGGTTGCGTGTGCCCTAGATGCTGTATGCAGCTAGCTACAAATGCCTGGAGTGCGAGGAAGGTGCAGCAGCAAGCAGTATCCCATGTTGGATAGGGCGATGACTGGGAAATGGAGGAGCTTTTTTGGGAGAACACTCAAGAACTGTCTACTATGAATGTCTTGAGTCAAGTGTAAAGGGTCTCTCTGTAGTCACAGAGGGATCTTTGTATACCGGAATTACAGATAAAAAGTCCTCAGTCTACTGCTATTGGTACAGAACAGGGGATTTTTGCTGCTTCTTTGTGCTATTCATGCAGCTGACACGTGTTGCTGGTGCTTCTACTGCAGTTATATTTTGCTGCTGCCTCTGCAGTTGGTATGGCCATTGCAGCTACAAGAGAGGCCTCCAGAAGAGCCTATTTGCGGAATTCGTTGCTCAATACATACTCATGGGTGCTTTTGTTACGCTGCGTTGTAGTCCCGAGCTTTGGTTCTTCACCGGTGCAGCCTCCCGGTTTCGTGCTGCTGCGGCTTCTTTACTCCTCCTTACTGTTGATCCTGCTGAACTTAGCCTTTGTAGATGTACAGTAGGTTGATGGATCTGACAACGATTCCCAGGGTTTCTGCGAAATTCACAAAGTGCCGTAGTGGCAGCTGGTACTCTGCATTGCTAATTAGTCCATCCAAGAGGAACTCGATGGCTTCCTCCCCCAGCCAGGCTCCCCCAAAGTTCGTCTCGCACATTTGGCGCAGAGCTGCAGCAACAACAAAAGTAGCGGAAAACATCAATTCACAACACAAAACTCGGTGAGGAGCGCCTATGGCAAGGCAGCCCACAGAGTAGTAACACAAGGAGGGAGCAGCAAGTGGGAAAGCGGTGGTGCACGCAAGCTGGTCCAGTAATCGCCAGCAACGGCAAGTGGGCAAGCCTTTGTAGCAGCAGATGTCTACCGGCGCGCGCATCAGGAAGCTCGGCAGTTAGCTCCCTCTCAGGCCCCTCCTGAGGCTGGAGGCCCATGAAGACTTCTGCAACGGCCTCCTGATTTCGCTGACAGTCCTCCACTAGCGAAATGAAATTAGAACATGTCAAGGCTGCACGAATATCACAAAAATGGACGTGCTCGAGCTGATATTGCTGCCGTTTCGATTCCGTTGTTCGTAGAACCCGAGGGCGGCGTTTTGAGGGTTTTTGTGCTCACTAGATCCGTCTGATAGGGAATAAAAAAGCCGGTCCTCCACTTCTCTCTCATTGCGGCATTCCGTCCATGAGCAGAGGAATTCGACAGCTACAGAGAGCCCATCCAAGCTCAGCCCTGCATAGTGGTGGAAACAGCACGACATGTATTTGTGTATGTAGGAATGGCACAGTGAAAAGAATGGCCAGCACCAGCAAGAGCAGCACGAACAAGAACAGCAGCCTCAAAAGGCAGGAGTTTTACCTCACCAGTGCCTTGAGGGTCCCATTTCTTGAAAATAGATTGCAGCAGTAACGTGTGAACTCGATGGGGATGATCCAAAATTTGCTGCAGCAATTCCTTGTCCAGAGGCGGGCTGAGAGAACCAGCAACCCATTTTGCCTCATCCTTGGCCTCTGATGGCGATTCATTTGCTGCAGGAGCTGCCGCTGGTAGTGTCGGTGCCGCTGAAGCATCTGCTTCTGCTCGTTGCGCTGATATAGAGGGTTCCGTTGCTGCTGCTGCTTGACTGTCAAGTGCCCTAGTGGTTTCCATATTGGAAGCAGCAGGAGGGGCCGCTGTAGGTGGGCTTCGCTTAGGCGTTCGTTCGCTTTTCGCCTTTGACGCTGTAGTGCCTTTGCTACTGCTGAGCCTGTGAGGCCTTGCAGCCGCTTTTGCCGCCTCGGTGTGGCGCTGATAAGGCGTTCCTCCTGCTTCTTCTCTAGTTACATCAATGGATCCCTCTTCCGGCTGTTGCCGAAGGCATATGCACAAGCCACCTTCCTCTAAACAAGCACTGTCCAAAAGATTTCCCATCCTCGGTACGGGCACCAAGGCATAGAATGGGGGACCTTGTCCAAAGAACGATTAGCCTCTAAAGAGGAATCCTAGTGCAGAAAAAGTTGTATTTGGGGGCAAGCTATATGCTTGGCAGACTTAGAAGGACGCGAGAGAGTCATACGACCACCCTTGGCTCTTACCGAGGGTAGAAGCTCTCTATCCCGCAGTTCCCGCAAAACTACAGTCGCAGTAGTTGCCTTCCGCTGGCTCGCTACGCAAAGTCCTACAGCCTCAACCCCGCTGCAGAGCGGCAAATAGGAAGATCAGACCAGAGGCTCTTGAAAATTGCTGGTTGGGGGGTTGATCCGAAATGATGACACCGAGCGAAAACCCTCGCCATGAGGGACCGAGCCTCCAGATCCGGCCGGAAAGGGCGCAGTATCCTAAATCTCTCACACATAGCAACAAATAATAGTCCGAAAAAATGCGTTGTGCTCATGTGTTATTCGTTGAGCTGCATGCGACTCGACCCTGAACCCCCGAAACCTCTGTTGGAGCGCAGTCCACGGCGGCGTTCCCCTTCCGAAAACAGCCCAACCCACAAGAATAAGACCGAATACCTTACGACTTCGTTTTAGCTCTCGATATATCCTTTTTAAAACCCATAGAAACGGATTTCCTGCACAGCAGCTCATTCCCTGTTTCCCCAAAACACCAAACCGTTCATCACCGCCGACAGCTCATAGCTTGCACGCCTAAACGCTTTGCATTGCTTCCACCGAAATCCCTGAACCGAGCAGTTATTTCCGCTTGAGAACACTAGAGATTCAACGGGCACATAAATGCTCGGCACACATGAACTGTCGCTAACTCCTACGCTTACCTTTTGCGAATCATGGAGATTCCAAACGAGCGAACCCGAGCCCTCTCGCAAACGTTCTGCAAGTTCCCACAGTATGACTTATTTTCGTTAAAACTACCACGAGGATTGCTCTAATGTACGCTAAAGATATCTCCGGTCCCTCGATCATCAACTGTTCGTTTTCCCGCCATTGATAAAACCTATTGTATTCTAGGGCTCAATATCTATTGCAGGAGTCTCATCTCCATAAGAAGCTCTTAGTTCTTTAATCTGGGACTCTGTGGCTATGGAAGTCACCATGTGCTATTTCTTACGGAGTTAACTGTATCTGCGGGCACTACAATAGCGAGGACCAATTATTTGTCAGCATACGCACGGAGGCAGGGCTGGCAAATGAAAGCGTGATTTGTACGCCATAATACTTTGATTTTTTTTCTGAAAGCTGGGGGCTGGGGCGCGCTGCTACGGTAATAACCTTTGCATTTGTGGTTTAAGAAACTCTGTAACAATGTGGGCAAGTCTGCACGTGTTTACCTTTTAGGGCTGACAATGTTTCCGACCAGGTGATAGACATAATGGCTGATAATCCGCTTGGCTCTGCATCTACTACCTGACTGTATGTGGCTCGCGCTTTTGGTTGCTAAGGGTTTGGGGTGCGATGGGACTCTTGCTGTAGAATAAGCTCCCTTTTCTGCTGGCACATGGCGCCATTGTGAAGAGGGTTTAAGGCGTAAAAGTGAAACCCTGAAATGTAACCCACACAAAATTTCATGTACCCCTTTTATGACTGCAAATATAGGCAAGGTTCTCTGGCCTTACTCAGCTTTGCGTTTATGGCCGTTGTGCATCTGCTCGTTTAGTGGGACTCACCAACAGGAACTCACCAGGACAGGTGAAATATCTGGTACGAGTAAGACTGCAAATAAAACTTTGTTTTAGCCCCGTCCCGAATTTCTGAAAAAGTTTCACCCGTCAGGGAAAGTGTTCTTTTTCAGGCCTGTAAGTGGCTCAGTAGGCTGCCACCTTTGACGCCCACAAATGCGGCGTGGCTCTTCTACATACCATTCAGTGAAGCGCATACGTGAACCTCGGCATTTTGCACCAAGTTGTAGGTGCTAAGCCTACGCACAATACCTTCACTGCAAGGCAACGCTCTTTACGATGGCCTCTGGCACATTTAACACAGGCACTACGTAAGAAGCCTCGCAAGCAGAAAACCAACGAAAACTGAAGCACCAGACCATTATCCCTTCCAAGGAATACCTGCCCCCTCCCGCCACCCACTTTGCATCAAATCCAAAGGATCCCCGCTTAACGGGAAGCCTGTAAGCAAATGTGTGACAACTAGGTTTCAAGCCAACCCAACAATCGCACACAGTGGAATACCTGCTCCTTAGCGTAAAAAATCGCATCAGAGGCCCTGTATATTGCGAGCTAGATCTACCCCAGAGAGAGCACGATACACTGAAACCCTAAGCATACACACATGCGGAGCTATTCTCATTGCTGAAGAGAGGATTACAACGTGGAAAAAGCATAACAATCAAAGAATGCGGCAATCCATAGCCCAAATGGCCTGCATATGAGTTGTTAATCACGAGTGGGGGTTCTCGCAGTCTCGTAAAAGATACGTGAGGCCAAGAATCGCAGTATGGAAATGAAAGCCCACGGATTCTGGGTCCATCCGAAGCAGCCTTTCTAAGACTGACGTATCAATCGCTCGAAGTGCACACTCATCGTTCTGAACACCAAATTTTAGCTACAACAAGCGGTATGTTGGGGATTTTTTGCTGGAGATTACTACAGACGTTCTGTGGTGTGACCGGTAAGGATGATGTATCGAAGCCCCACACAGTGCATGCACTGCCTGGGGCCCCCTAGATGTTTCTGTGGGAAAACACCAAAGCATGAAATTGTCCTTCTGAAACCCTTAGCAGCAGGTGTAGTTTTGGCTGTTGCTCTTGGCTACGAGATCTGCCACGGATTTTGTTACTTCTGACGCTGATGCTCCAGCGGGCACCAGCGGCAGAAGTATTTCTCCCCTTTCGTGGCTTATTTCCCAACCCCTAAACTCCCAATTTTCGATTGGACTGCCTCCATCGGGGCTGTTTAGCCGTATCGCGGCCTGTGAGCGGAGCCCTCCAAAGTAAGCTGCCGAGATAAGGCCCTTGCGCCTGCAGTGCAGGGTTAGCTGTGTGCAATCTATGGCCTCTTGCTGTGCAGGATTCATGTTTCACGGTTCAAGGTCAATAGCAAAACTGCAATTCGTTTAGCTGCGGGAAAAGCACGCTGCAAGCCCGGCCGTCTCCCAGCGGCTGTACCTCCTGCAGCTGCTTTGCAAGTTGTTCATGTCGCATCACGCAACAAATGAACGCTGTCAATCATAATGCTGCAGATGAGTAGCCGCGGAGGATTTCGCGGGGGATTTCGCGGGGGTAGAGGAGGCGGCCGTGGGGGATTCAGAGGCGGTAGAGGCGGGGGGGGCGCAGGTGAGAGCACAAGCCTAAACTCAAGCCTTTCTTCCTTGGGCACTTTGACGAGGATTCTTTGTTTAAGCACAGTGATTTGAAGGCGTCCGCACCGCAGGCAGCAGCACACGCGATGGCAACTTAGCCAACTTCTGCAGCAGCTCCAAAAGCAGTCGCAACTGGACTGTGGTATGGCCACTTTTGTTTGCTACAGGCTACAACCAGGGGCCGCCGGAGTCTATTGTTGGTGAGAAACTCAAGCATAGTGGCGTTCGGGGTTTCGGAATCTGCAAAGCAATCAGTCTCTTAGTTTCTTTTTCTCCTACTGCCGAATTTGGGCGTAAGCTGTAGGTTTCTACTGTTGCCCACTAGCGCTGCCCGTGTATATACTGGAGCCTCGCCGACTAGTGGTCTGGGGTGTTTGCAGAGGCTGGAGAGGTGTTGCATGAGGCGGAGAGCTATTTGGTAGTCAAGGGTTTGCTGCAGCAGCAGGTATTAACGCCATTTTCCCGCCTTTTGCTTCGGTCCCTTTAGGCAGCATAATTGTGAACACCTCCAGTAGCGTCTCGTTCTTTCCCTATTCGTATCGTCACTCTCATCACCCCCTATCTTCGCGGTGATCGTGATACTGCACTCGCTGAGCCTTCTTTCGTTGCCTTATTCTCTTCATAAAGGTCGGTGATGCACCTTTCTGTGCGCGTTGACAAGGTTCCTTACTTCAACGGCCGAATCTTTTTGGAAAACAAACAGGAAATCGGCAAGGTCGATGAGATCTTGGGACCCATAAATCAAATGGTATGGAGAGCCCTAGCCCTTACCATTCCTTAGAGATTCCTGATCAAGGTTAAACCAAGATAGGCCACAGAGTCTGAGTTGTAAATATCAGAATTTGGGGAAGCGTCTAGGGAACATGGAATGCCTCTGTTGGTAAGGCAGAGGGTTCGAAATTCGGGGTTTGTGGTGCAGTACTTCTCTGTCAAGCTGAACGACGGGATCAAAGCCTCTTCCATCAAGCCCACGACTAAAGTAACTCAAGCTCTAAGCGTTAGGGTTTTTTCTCCAAGAACTCTGCAGACTGTGCTCAGAAATAGAAATGTGGTGGTGGCATTGCTATTGTTTCTCACGGCGTTGTCGTTAGCCTCTGTGGATTGTGCTGTAAGGGTGGAAGTTGTGCTCCTGCCTTCGCTTTTTTAACGCAAATTCGCTGATCTTGCACTTGCCTATGGTGCAGTTTTTCGTAGACGTCAATCAGACGCTCCCTCTCTCACGGTTCCTTCCCAAACCACCGATCGCGAAGACCCCAGGCGCAGGGAGCAAATCCGGTGAGGATGGATCCAGAGGAATCCGACACCCTTGCACCTCCTCCGAGTGCTTTTTGGGCGGAATGCGAGTGCTTTCTGAGGCCAAAGAGCAGCCATGGCTCGGGGTTTGGGGATGTGTGATTTTAGGAGGCGGAGGACGAGGGGGCAGAGGTGGGGGCCCCTCCCGTGGAGGGCCCCGTGGTGGCCGTGGTGGTTTCAGAGGCGGTGGGGGTGGCTTTAGAGGCTCCCGGGGGGCTCCTCGTGGAGGTGGAGGTGGCTTCAGGTAATTTAATTGGCAGTACTGAGCTCTTTTAGGCTCCTTATGGGGAGTAGTTTGGTTTCTGCTGGCTAATTATTCGATAACGTGTCAAATGGACTGCTTCCTGATTGTCGGTTCGCTGTCTGTCGACTCACCGAAGTGCCACTGCTTGCAGTTTCCAGGTTGACTGCGGAGAAACTGCGGGCAAGTAAGGATTTGGACCTGTGTTTCTTTTCTCAGAGGCAGTAGAGGACGTGGACGTTAACAGGCTGAACAATTGCAAGAGCAAAAACCACAGAAGCAGCTTTCGTTGCAATCTCGGTTGAAGCGAAAATAATGTGGTTTGGCCATGCGTGGTGCGCCGCCCGGGATAAGCCGAGGCTTTGCACGCCACGGATAAGGCCTCAAAGTGACATATTTGGGGGCAGTGGTATGCATACCTCACAGTTTAGGTGCTATGGCGAGGTACCTTTCAACACAAATTACTGGGCGCAACCAACGCAGTGGCGTCCCCCAGCTTTCTCCGTATTTCATGTATAAGGGCACCCGGGTTGGAGTTGGAGCTTCCTATACAGTAGGTTTGCAGCGACCAGTTCCTCACCGAATTATCCGTACTGCCTCTTTGTATGCTTAAGGCTGCAAGACCAGATTTTAACGCTTCCTCTAAGGTCTTTCTAGGGAGAGAAACTTAACTCAGACCCAATACAAGCTTAATAGAAATTTCTCTAGTCAACCTTAATAGAAAGTTCTTCAGTCAAACTTGATAGAAAGTTCTTCAGTCAAACTTGATAGAAAGTTTTCTAGTTCTAGAAGGTCTTCGTCCCTCCCCTCCCCGCGACTCGCAACTTTTAGGCATTGCGGGTGAGGGGCAGCTAGGGCACGTCGGTGTAGCTGCACTCTGGAAGCGTTCCGAGATTTAACCGTTAGTTGCACCTGGCACTATAGCGCACATGCAGGCAAAATTGTGTCTACTTGTATCAAGCTAGCAAGACTCTACAATAAAGAAGACATACCGTACAAAGCGAGTAATCAGTTCTGTACTGTTAGTTGAATGTGACGAGTCTGGCGGAAAGTGTAGTTTTTGGCTAGCTCACTGCCCAGATAATTGTAAAAGCATACTATTGACGACGCCACACTCAAATTATTGGGCATACCAGGGGAGCCCCACAGAATCGCCTGTCTGACAGGAGGCTTCTTTTCTTAGCACGATGCGTCAAGACTGCTGATGCTGTAATTTCCTCTGCTGCGTACTACTACTGCATGCTGTAGTTGGGAGGGGCAACAAGTCCTACGGTAAGCGTTCATATGTAGCCACACTCAAGGTATGGATGGAGAGGGGAACAACTCACGCGCACGGCGAAAAGCCGAGGGTCTTGTGCAACAGTGGGCAACTGAGCTGCGAAATCTTGTGTGCAAATAGTTCAAGATAGAGGGCTTTGCATATAAACACACCATAGATCATGGGGTTGGATTTGGTGGTTGGATTGGGCATTCGACTGCAGACAAATCGAGAGAATGGTGGCACACAGTAGGCACCAGGGGGCCCCCTAGGACTCAGGTAGCTGCATGCAAGACACAACTCCAAACTGTTTAGGGTTCGCTCGCCCTACATGGTTTTTTACTTTTTTGCGGCGTAGGGCATAATGGTCTTTGCGAAATAGGACTACGCAGGCGACTTGCACACTAGAGGTTGCCTCACACTGACAGGGGCACAACGACACCAGCAAGAGAATTAGCAGAAGGAACCGCTCCAGCACGTAAACTGCTTCTCTCTGTATCTACGTTTGCACAGTTTACTTTCTGTAAGGCTGAGGAACTCTTGATGGGACTGGCGCTGGTGGATGGGATAAAGAGCGAAGCTTCAGTGTTCGAGTGCAACAGGGCGTCCTAACCTTCCCCGCATTGCTGACAGCAGTATCACTTGCTGCCGCTTTCGCTGGAATTTTTACTGCTGCTCCATTTTCTGCGGTTTCTGCTGCTGCAGGTTGCGGCCATGGCTCTTGGTGGCTCTTCCGCAATATTTCCAATGGGTGAAGGAGGTCGCCAGGTGTGTGAGCAACGTGGTGGTGACTATATTTCGATGTTCAAAAGTCCACAAAGTATACTATAGGCCTCTTAGATTGTGTGTTTGAGTGTGTATATATATGTGCAGCCAGTGGCGTCCGTCCGTGCGGGTCGCTGCCTCTTGAGCGGCACCTTAGTCTCACCGGATCCTCGCAAGGGAACCCTCCAGCTGATACAGGTATGTTGGAGTAAAGGCTCCCCTAATCACTGCGGCGCAGACAAATATATCATCCTCCGCTTGCCTTTTCCCCCAGTTCATCGACCGCTTTTTTCATTCTGTTTCACCTTTTTTTGCTCTCTCGGCGCTGCACGATCACTACCGGTGCCTCTGCCGCCTATACCCTCGTTGCGTCTTTTCTCCAGCTACAAGAGGGACTGTCCGTTCGTTGGTTGTTGAGGCCCTCTGGAGAAAAGATGGATGAATTCATACTGGGGAGAGATGCCACACTGCAGCTTCTGCCAAATCCCAAGGCCAGAGTTATCGCTTTCAAAGCCAGCAACGGTACAGTCACCAAGATTTTTTTCTAACCTTCGACTCCTTTGCGTCTGAGCCCTATGGATTCAACTTGTTGCCTTTATCTTCCTTCCCCAGCTAGATCTCGGCTCAGGAAGCCGTGTTTTAGCTCCATCACCGCGCCTGCCTCTCTTTCTGGATGCAGAGGTGTATCTGCAACTTGTCTCGGCTCATGACTCACACACACCGCTTCCTCCTTCTCCGTCATTCTTCCTTCGTCCTCTCGCTCTCAACCATTCCTCATTTCTCTCTTCGCGTCTGTACATATAAATAATCTATATCTAGCTCGCCTCTTCTCACTTTGGCCCTCCCACCTGCTAGAAAAGCAGACATCCACTCTCACCGCCTCGTTTAAGCCTCTATGCCTCAGGCCTGAAGCGTCTGTTTTGGCTCCAAGAGCCACGCGCTTCGGAAGACGCAGCCTTTATCTCCAAAGTCCAGACGGCCATCAGCAAGCAGCCAGCCATTCCGTAAATCAGCAAGCACCCATGATGAATTCTTGCTTCGGTGTTGGGCTCCACTCTTGACGCGTATCCTTTCCTTCCTTGGATCAGCTGCCTCTGATCGCTCTGCCGCTCGTGTTGCACTTCTAGCTCCCTTGAGGAAGTCTTGCTTCGGTGTTGGGCTCCACTCTTGACGCGTATCCTTTCTTTCCTTGGATCAGCTGCCTCTGATCGCTCTGCCGCTCGTGTTGCACTTCTCCTGGCTTCATGCCACATGCAGACGAAGGAGGGCCGTGCACTGCATCGCAGTCTTCTCCTGCGAACGCAGTCCGTCTTGTCTGCCTTTGTCTGCTGCTCCCACCTATTCAGATCAGCACAATCAGGAGCAGCAACAGCAGCGCAGCCACTTCAGCAGCAACACACCGAGGATCAGCTGCGGGAGCTGCTACGATCTTTCGCTGAGGGAACGGTGCGAAGGCCACCTTCCAACAAAACAGGTACACTGACTTGTCTGTCTCTCGCATTCCAGTTCTGTGCCTCTGTCCGTCTGCTGGTGTTTGCATGTGTTTATTCCCTCTTCACCCATTTGTTTCTTCGCGGCATGTCTGGAGGCACTCTGCCTCTTCTCCTGTTCGCTCCTGCAAAGCCTTTCCTCAGTCCTGCTTCCGCTGTTGTTGCGCTTTGCGCAGTGTCTCTGGCAAAAATCCTTGACGCGGAGACCGTCGCTATCCTGTCTGCGGATTCGGAGGCTATGGAGAATCTCGCACAGTCGGTCCACTGTCGTAATACTGTTGTATTTTCGCCATTCGTTCCAGTGCTTCTCCCGCCTCCCTCGCGTGTTTTTCTCTTCGCCCTCTCACTGGCGACTTCGCATTCTGTTCGTATCCTTACGCGGTTTGTGGCCTGCTCGGTCTTCCCGTCTGTTGCGTCGCATCCGCGTCTTCAAGCGCGCAAGCTGCGAGGCTTACAGGGAGCAAACGTGTACACACGCGCTTCCTCTTTCTCCTGCGTGTATCTCCTTCCGTTCAGGCTCATGCCGGAGGGTTTGCGGAGTGCCTCTGAGGCACTTGCTGCTCTCCGATGCCCTCAGCTGGCTATTTGTCTGTCAGGTCTTACGCAGGCAATCTACACAGATCCCCGTCCTATCTTGTCCTCTATGGGTATACATCTCTTTTCTGTGGCTGGTGCTGCCGGTGCTTGTCGTCATTTGCGATTTGCTGACCACCTGGTGCTTAGGGTTTGAACGCTAAGCTGGGACTGCAATTCAGCCGTTTTTTCTGAGGCTGCACGGCCCGTGCGCGAGTGGCGTTGCATTGTGTGTGTCTGTGTGTTTAACTACCGTAGGGGTTCCAGCCACGCCGCCGTCTGGCGACGACGGTAGGATGTTGCCCGTGTTTCTGCTGCTGCTGCTTTTTTGTTGGGAAAAACTTCGCACATTATTTGCTGCTCCAGGTTTAGTCTCCAGGGTTTGGTTAGGCCTCTGTTCTCATGTGTAGATCCTTCCGCCTACCGTCCCCGTGCACCGCTGCAATCTCGCTGCCTTGCCCATTCTGCCTCTTTCCCGCCGCGTTCTGCGGATTCCTCTGTTATTGTCTCTCTTTCAGCAATGGAAGCATTTGCTGCAGCCCTAGAGGACAGGTTTGGGCGAGCAGCAGCAGGTGCGGCACCATCTGATGCAGCACCAACAGATGCAGCGGATGAAGGCCCCACAGAAATGGAAGAGGACGAACCCTCCGCCGAATCGGAGACCAAGTGAATTATACAGCACCCACAATCAAGCAGCTACCCCCTGTGCTGATCCTCCATGCATGATGCCTGCTGCACACTGAAAAACCGCAGCCGCAGCAGCGGTAGCAGAAACACGACGCTCTCATCCTGATTACTCTCGCATCCTTTTTGCACCTCTCAGAACAAAGAACTCTATAGTGCTGTCACTTCAAGCTATGCTGAAGAAAGCATGCACAAAACTAGCGGAAAAGACCGATGTTGACCCAGAATCGGTCGAGCCAGAGAAAAGGCTAGGGAATGGCAGCAGATGAAAACAGGCGAGATACCCAGGCCGCGACCACACATTTTTGTCTGCTTTCGCGCCTTAGGAGAGCTGGCTCAGATACGTTAAGTCTGATATTCTTTGACTGATTTGCCTGCACCAGAGCGCTACGGCAGCTCCTCTTCATGATCTTAGTCTAGTCTCACATTTGGAGGGTAGGGTTGGAGGTCTATCCATAAGGATTCATAAGGGGCCCTTCGTGCAAAGTAAATTCACAACAGACTGCCCATCCCTCGTCTTCCTGTCCCTGTAACCCATGACTATGTGGACTCATGGTAACGCGCTGGAGTGCGACCCTTACGAAGGAGTACGTGGGAATTTCACAGTCAAATTTGGTAACTTTTGTTGCTCTGCGCCCACTCATCGTACGGCCCCAAGAGGATCGGTATATCCCATCATGTTACACTCTAAGATCGTCGGAGATAACTGTATACAATAAAAGATTTGTAGCGAGTCCTTGATAGATTCTTTCTTTTCGTCGAACCCTCCTTCCCTTTGGCACTCCCTTTAGTCTCTCTAGACCTAAAGAAGGCACCTAGGATACGTATACCTGCGCCTCCGTAGCACACGGAGAATTCGCAGACAAGCTCACATTCCTTTTAAAAATGAGAAGTACAAATGCACAAACCAATTACTTCGGCCTTCAAATAAATTTCAATATGTATAACCAGTGCAGTAGGAAGCGTTGAAGTGTAGATCAGCGCGCTGTGTCTTGTATACAGGGGGGCTGAATGGCGGACTGACAAACCAGCAAACTGCAGCTGGAGGAAATTTTGGGGCTCATGGATCTAAAATCACCTGAGATCCCTAAGCCTGCTGCATTCGGTGCCACGTATGTTTCATCTGTGCTATGTGTACTCCAATGAAAAGTTGTCAATCCCTATTAGAAAGCATCAAGAGATTCTAGACGCACAGCAACGCATACTGCAACAGCCTACCTGTACCAGAGCCCAATGCATCTGCCCTTATTCCTTTGAACTACTACATACACCGTGCCACAAATGTATAAGGAAGTAACCAGGACCCGGCTGGTCTCAATTATGTCTATGAAACCCAAGAGCCCATCTTCACTCCTTGAGGCATAAAGCTTGTATGTCAGCCACTGGTGACGGAAATACGCTTTGCCACACGCAGAGAGAGCTGCAACAACAGCAGCAACGAGCTTCAGAACCGGCAGTAGCAACGGCAGCACAGACAGCAGCCGGTTGTCGTCTCTCTGCACCTCGAGTAAAGTTGATTGTCCAGGAAAGAAATACGACCCAGAGCATAGAGCAATGTTTATTCTATGGTAAAAGCCTACTTTTGGCGTGGCTTTAAGGCAGTGTTGCCTCAGTGGGGGCCCCCGACGGATCAGGCTATAGACCTGTTGCTGCAGCTGCCGCTGCCATTTCTGCTGTTGCTCCTGCTACTGCCGCGATAGTTTCTCTAGCTTTAGTACTGAATACCCGTTTCTTTCTGCTAAGTCTCTTCTGCAATCTTCGGGGAGGGGCTTTTTGTAGAACCCACGGGGCGACAGGTGAGGCTGCTGCTTCTGTTGCTGCTCTTGTGTCTGCCTATTGGGGTTTAGGGTCTAGAATTTCCGCACTATCACCGTTTTCTGCCCTTCTCGGCACCTCTTTCACCCACCTTCTCTTTTCTGGGGCCCTCGAGGCCCCCAGTTGTCTGCGACTCTGGGATTAAGCATGTGAGCAGAGGCTGCCGCCGCTCCCAGTAGAGTGTATCAGCACAGCAGACAGACAGAAATCCAGCCTTGATAGTATATGACAACGTGATGGGGAACTACTGGCCGTCATAGTAGTAGCAACAGCGGCAGCAACCGCGCAAGCGCCTCAGGAGCCGGCGTATCAACATCAGCAACCATCGCCGAAACAACAGCTGCTCCCTCTGAGTGAAGCAGAGCAGTTTTGCCTCCGTCTTGCAGGGCATTATACGGCGTGTAGGGGCCTTCTTCATGTGACGCTGCTCTCGTTTTCGGAGTAGCGTTGCCCAGAACGTTTTGGCTTGATGATCTCAGGCTTCCTTTTGTATTTTCTACAAAGATGGGAGCTCTGAGGGGTTAACTGCATGTTTCATTGTTCAAAATTCTGAACCTGCTTGCGCTTACAGGATGGAGTGTTTCCGGGACGCCGCCCGGGTGGTAAAGAATCGTGAGAAGCTGATGCAATGGCTCAGCAACCACCAGACCTCTGTCCAGGTAAGTTGGCAAAGGACAGAGCCTAGAGCACACGGTGTCTGCATTTGTGTATGTCGTGACATGCGGTTTTTCAATTTAGGTCTGAAATTCGGGGTTGCTGTGTGCCTTTGCCCTTTTGCCTTCTAGTAGCTGCCATCGGTAATCCTCGCTGTATGGCGCTTTCTCTGTGTGTTCCTTCATGAGTTCTGCGTAGATCATTTCTCTCCCGGTTTTCTCTATGTCTGACGCTACGTGTAAGTGACTTTGCGCGTTTGTCTTTTCTTGTCGCAGGCGTGGACGGGGATGTTCTTCGTGGTATTCCTCGTGTACCACTTATTTTCTGATGGGGATTTCTCCTTCCTTATGACCGTCTCCTCCCTCATCTCCACTTTCTCCTTCCTGATGGTCCTGTATAAGATCGAGCAGACGAAAAGCTGCTCAGGCGTTTCTCTAAAGATGTTCGAATGCTATGCCGTTCTTATCTTCTCTAGGCTATGCTCCATCATCCCCTATGAAGGGTAAAGGCCGCTTCCCTGTATCTCCCTGTATCGGCATGTACACCTCAATCATTTTTTTGATATGTTAGCTTTACGTGTAAATATATATATATTAGATATGTATATCTTCTTCTTTCTCTTACTTACGCAGGCACAGACGCACTTTCTCTCTGTCTATCTGCCAATCGATTTCGACATCGGAGTGCCTGTTGATTCTGTGATCCCTTCCTGTCCCGTTCCGTGCGTTATGTGCGACGTATTTGTCTGTTTTCCTGCCATATGTACCTCTCAGGTATCTCCCTTATGACCGGTCAGGAGATTGGCTCTACCAGACTTTGGAGGCGCTCTCTCTTCTACTAGCTGGATTGGTGGTATACCAGTGTCGTCGTCGCTTCCTCGCTTCCTACCAAGCGACTGGTGACACCTTCCCCCACATGGTGCTTCTTGCTGGAGCCTTCATCCTCGCGCTTATCTTCCACCCTTCGCTAAACGCCTTTATGCCCGCAGATGTGAGAATAGCATTCATAGACACACATACGGATGGTCATAGACTTTGATCAAAAGCGCAGAGGGGAAAATGCTCGGGCTTCTGGTATTTGGGATCCCTCCAGGAGGCAGGCACTCTTTCGTCGTCTTTCTGATGTAGCGAATAATCGTCGCTTCCTTCTGCCGTGTGGAACTTCTTTGTCTCTTCGCCTTCTTTGCCCACTCGTCATGCTGGCCTTCTTGCTCAGCTCTTGCTGCTTGCTCTGGCGCATCCTGTATCACTGAGCGTTTCCTATGGATTTCCCCTCGCCGTGTACTTCTTACGACCTTTCTCTCCGCGAGAGTGTCTGTGCCTTTCCTCCAAGCAAAACAATCGCCCTCCCTTCCTGATCTCGAAGTTCGTCGTGTGTCTCACTGCCTCAGGTTGCCTGGACGTTTGCGCTGTACCTTGAGGCCATTGCCGTCCTCCCTCAGCTCTTCATGTTTCAGAAGCAGGCAAGGAATCCTCGGTGGTTTTGCTCTGCCCTTTCTTCGCGTTGTCGATACATCTCTGTCCATCTTCTTAGCCCTCCCTCTCCAGCTCGTAAAACCAGCCTAATCCTGCTCCCGTTCCTCCTTGTCTCATCGTGCTACTTTCAAGGCATTTATTATTTCTCAGTCCTCTCTTCAGTCGTCCAGTTTTACACATTGTCAGCAGCGGTGACAAACCCCACTTGCTGCCTAGCCACTCCGCTACAGCAAAGCGGAGGTACAAGGCCACCCCATCAAACACTTATTTCTGCCTTATCTTGGGGTTCATGCAGTAGGATCTCGGTTTTGTTTTGGATGTGCAGGGTAAGGTTGAGGCCTTTACTTCGCACTTCCTCGCCGGCCAGGCCCTCTCGCAGGTATGTTCATCCCAGTTGTGGCAGCAGCAACGGTAGCAGTTGCAGCGTCTCCAACCACCACAGTAGTCTCAGCGCGTATGTCTGTGTCTGTGCTTCAGGCCGTCTCCTTTATCTTTTGGGTTTCTTCCTACTCGGAGCTTAACGGCCCCCAGAATTCTGTACGAAAGCTTTTTGCCCTAGACTCGTTAGCTTTCCCAAGCTCAAGCATGCACGAATGAAGATATTCTGTTTTGGAGGTTTCATCTTCTGCCACAAATTGTATCTTTTGGGGCTCTCTATTGCGCGTTCCTTTTTGCATACTACTGGCTTTCCCCTTCCCCCCTGTGTCGTCCTGTTATCGTTGATTCTGTTCTCTCACCAGTCCCTTCGCCGTTTCCACCTTATTCCACGAGTCTCTCTTGGTGCTCGAGATCATCTCAGTCTGTCCGTTTCTCCTCGACTTTCTCTGTCCTCTGCAGATTCGATCGTATGTCGGCTTATGGGTAATAGGCATGCAGGTGGTGCAGCTCATCGTTATGGGAGACTTCATCTACCACTATATCCGCTGGTGGGCCCCGCATGCTGCCCTGTCGCGCTCCCCAGACCAAGAAATGGAGTGTCGCTAGGATGCTTGCCTACACTGGGATGCCGCCGAGCAGTAACGATAGCTGCAGCTGCAGCACCTGCGGTTTTGGTGCGTTTTTGTATGCTGCAGTGTAAGTCGCGGCCTTCCTGTGCAATTCCTGTTGAGCGAGAATGTATAAAGGCGCCAAACAGCACGGCAGTTGAGGATCTTGTAATCTTCAAACGGGATGCAGACCCTTAGGGTGTGGATACACCGGAATCGCGCATCTTCTGCCGCGGTTGAAGTCCCCCCTCTGCATGACTCATGCAAGCAGGGGTGCTGATGGGCTGAACAGCTAGTTGAATCCCTGGCATGGTATCTACCTAGCCAGCTGACTAGCTACCTGGCTGGCGAAAACTTACTGGGGCCTAGTCGGTCCCGTCTCCGCCTCTCGGCCATGACACGCCCTTACCGGGAGCGTGACAAGCGCAGTAACGCGGTATGGACTTGAAGGATGTATAGGACACCTGAACGCACACGCTATCCGGCTAGCTACATACCTAACTATTGGGGTGATCGGTTAGCTGGGATGATTGATTCGGGCGCTACTTAGGCGAGTATCGAGCCATTACTACAGTCGCTTGCCTGCAAATCAGTTCGCGTCCCCTGCTACGAGCTACCGCTACTGTAAGTATGCCTCCCAGCAGGCCAAGGGGGTTACTGCATTCGCAGGCTAGCCTGTTACCTGCGTGGTTGGGCTGCCAAACTATTTCTGTAGCTTGCCAGATAACCGGCAAGCTCAAGTGCTTAACTGGGCTAGCTAACTGGCGTGGCTTACTAGCTACTAGCAGCTGCTTGGCTAGATCGGGGGCTGGCTAGGAAGGGTTACGTGGGATAGTGGCTGGATTCTGTGCGGCTACTGGGGCTAGCTAGGTGGCTGCTTAGTGAGGTGGCATCGCTATATTGGCAAAATCTGAGCGAGTGCTCTAGTACTCCGTTGTATGGGGCGTCCGAAGGCTGGTGAGTAGGCGAGTGGCAGCGACGCTACCTGCTACTTCCTTGATGTACTCTGTTTGAAGGCCAGCCCTCTGGCATTCGACATGTTTAGTGGCTTTCTTTTAAAATTTAGTGTAAACTAGGCTTCGAGCATTCTTTTCTACCTAGAGCTTAAAGCGTGGGTGTGCGTGATACTGGCGACCCTCGTCTAGACTTGTGCACGAGATTTTCTGTACATATTAAATGAAAGCCCTGCCTCTCTAGGCGCCTTTAAGGAGCTTCCACGGACATACCACCACCTTCGGTACTCCTGAAAATACTACCTGAGAAGACCGGGTAGTCCCCCATTACTATTATAAAGTTGCGCAAAGCTTGTTGCGGTCTGCCGAGGGCAGGCTTCGGTTTGCTCTAACTAGTCATGCGTAGATGAGCATCCAGTGTGTTCTTTAAGCTTACTTTTAAGCTACCAGCATAAAATCAACCTGTTCAGGGTTTCCCACTGCAATAAGGCCGAAAAAGTGTCTTCTATCAGTGATAGAGTGATTCCCTCTTAATCCTTGGCAGGTGCTGATTGCCTACTGCAACCAACGAGCATTATAGAGTTAAACTTAATCAGGGCCCTACTACCCAATAGATACCATCTGCCAAACTTCGGATTAGGCCTCTTCCTGCTGTTCCTAGCCCCAATACATCGGCTGCTCAGAGTCTTCATCTGTCATCCCGTCTGTGTGTCCTGAGAAACGGCACGCTGCCAGACAGGGACGCAACTGGAGAAGATTGGACATTGCGACAATATGGAAGACAGGAAGTTCCAAATTTAACCTCCAGTTTGTTCTGTACCTCCCAAACTGTTGTGTGCATTCCCTGCCACACAACTCACATTTAAAAGATGGAAGTCAGTGCCCACCATTGCTTTCTCAGCGCTTTTGCTATATGAAATGCTCCCTACTGCTCAGGGTTCCCGAAGCAGGCACTTACAGCGTGTACTAATTTAGTGGACTCAATAGGACTGAAAAAAATTCTCGCTAATCACGGTAGCTCAAGAGGCTGACGCAGGAACTGCACCACTCAAGGAGTAACAACAGATTTTGCTGACAATTGGTGCTGCAGTTCCCCGTAACATAGTATAGGCAGACAAACATTTCTCCGAGCCATTTACCAACAGCCAGTCTACGTAATGATCACAGATTCTCGTATAGTGAATCTAAAATCGCATTCCTGCGTGAAATTATCTATCCCAGCTAACAAATTTTCTTTTTATGGCAGCAGTAGTGCTTTCAAAAAGATTTGTGTGGATCAAAGCCACTGAGAGGCACATCACATCTTGAACCTGCATGATGAGGTACGTTCAACCGCAGGAATGACTCTCAAAGGCCTACTGAACTTTGACTGAATGTTGAAACCAACGTTCCCTGTAATATCATATGTTACTTACTAGTACTTGCTTGTGAAGAAGCGGTCTGACAATCGGCATAAAAGCCGTACCACTAGGCTGCAGGAATTGTTCCGGTGGACGATAAATACCCAGTGTTGAATTTACGGGCATGACGGCCGAGTCATGAAATGAGAGCAAAACTAGCTATTTCTAGAGTCCATGCTCTTTCAGTTTGCGTGGTTTGTGTCCCACGAAGGTCGCAATAAGGGATATTCCCATACAGAACACATCTTGACGATATTATCAATTAGTCCATGGATGGGGTCGTGCACTTAGCCCTCATGCTGAGGCACCCAATGGGGTCTGGATGGAATAGAGCACCCATAAACTTCAGGGTGGCAACATTGCGGATGTGGAGCGATTGCCATTGTTGCTCTACAAGCTTTGGATCATGTCTCTTTCAAGCATACCACTAATCTAAGTCTGAATGCGATCCTCAACAAGTCTAATCGACGAGTCTTTCGGGAGGTGCGTGACTTGCCATTAGCAGGAAGGTGATATCCAGCATTACATGCCATTGCAATCCTTTTGAAATAGGAACAGATAAGCAAATTCCTTTCGATCTCCCACAGGAGTACCAATTACTTTGCTCCTCCCTGGGGTCAGATTAGCAGGAGAGCAAGCAGATGACTTTCTCAAGACCCTATCAGTTATCGGCAGCTGGACATGTGCTGGCAGTCGATAGAGTGGGGAGGGGTTGCAAGCCAGCATGTATTCAACCGTAGCATCGAAGACCCCCCAAAGACTTGCTCTCGCCTTACAGCTGTAGTCATGCCAGGCGTCCACACATTCTGGTGAGCCCTACTGAATGTCTTGCCCGAAGGCTCTTCTCGCACCACAATTCTCATCTGAAAAAGCTTTCCTTTAGATCTTAGAACTCAGATCAGTGCTTGTAATGGGTTCTCTACGGCTTCCCGACAAGCTCCTAACTTTAATTCATGTTCGCTTGCCGATGGTTGGCTCCGGCCAAGCTAGACTAGGACAGCTACTACTATGGTAATTATATCAAATAAGATATGGAGCATACGAAAAATACTTAAACGCTTGTGTAGTTCATAGTTCCTTTCATACTGTGAGAGTGACTATTGTTAGCCCTTGCACAGAACTTTTCTGTACCATTGCTTCAATTTCTCCAAGAATGCATCTACCTGTACTCATGTTGTTTAGCACTAAGGCTGAATTCTGTGATGTGGATGCATGCAGAGGACAGTTGGCTACTAAATCTTATGCATGTAGGGGGGTTTTGGGTCTGAGGGTTCTTAGGTGGAAGACACCAAGGGAACATTACACTAAACCTTGGACCTGCACAGCAATGGGGCAGCCAGGTGAGATGACTAAGAGCGCCAGGGCAGTCACAGACTGCACCTCAGTGACTGTTCAGATATATACACAAATGCATACACGTACTGACCTTGAAGCAGCTTTTGCTACACTTGAACACTTTTTACTAAACTATCTCATTTAATAAGGAGTTACCAACAACTGGGTATTTTCTTTGGCTTCTTTTTACTCTAGAGCAGAGTTGGGTTACTGCGGTAAGAATCGATGTCTTGTGCCTGTGCGCTAGGTGCAATGTTTAGCTCAAAGTGAAGACTCCGAGTGCTTAGAGGGTGCAGAACGCACCCTAGCTATTGCCCTTCCATGATGCCAAAGCCTTGAGAAGCGAGTGTAGAGAAGGGAGGAGCTGCTCTATAAGAATGCCGAATAAATAACTGTGAAGTCTTTGTTGAGGCTATAGCAAGGTGCCACACTAGAGCGACCGTAGATGTAGCGTTTCACACACACAACGTGCACACACACACACTGACAAACAAACACACGCACACCACCATAGGCTTCCTAAGATGGGGCGCAAACCTTGCCCTCTCATAGAATTGAACCTTAGCACACTGAATCATGCCATCCATTTGGCCCAGTTCATCTTAACTCCTGAGGAAGCGCCAAGTTTTGTAGCGTTGGTATGCAGCACGAAATCTTCCTTGAACGCTCTAAGACCTGCATAGGGCGATAGTTGAATCCAGGGTCAATGCAGACTTAGGCGAAAGCTCTTGTTTTCGACAACGCTCCCTTTCCCTTGTTTACTCCCCTCAGACCTCTGGACATAGGGGGAGAGGGACACCTAGGGTACGTACAACTGTACCTTGATAGTGTACAGAGCAATCACAGGTTGTGGAACACTGGTTCTGGAACATACGCACAACATGACGTCTTTTAGAATTGGGCTCACAGTACTCTGCAATAAATAAGAGATACGAACACCCAAAGCAACTTGTCAATTGTGCAGTACTTGTTAGTAGAGTAGAGCTCATGTAATCAAACGCGCCTCAGTGCAGTTTTACCCGCTATATTCAAAGAAGCCCTGACTAACGTTTATGCCGAGATAAGCTTAGCAGCACGCTGTGGGAGAAGTGAGAAAGCTGGAACAGGCAAATTCACCCGAAGGTCTGTGAATAAAGGAATCTAATCTTTTGCTTTGCAAAAATCACAACGTAGAAAACTAACTGCTTTCTCAGTGGTTGCTATCAGGCTAACCTCAAGTGTCCCGACAAATGGTCTCAAACTGGGCAGGGGCTCAGCGGTCAGAGAGGGGCCGGTGGGGCTTCCGCAAGTTGTGGATCCGCTGAGTCTTCAGAAACAAATGTGAGTAAATCTTGAGTCTTTACTTTGGAAAGAAGCTCCAACTTGGGATTGAGAACAAGTGAATGCTGAGGATGTCTCAACCTGGTCCTTTTAGAATCTAAGGTAAACAACGGGAAAACGACAGAGGAAAGTCGCACTCGTAGACTGGCAGCTTCTCAACAACGCAGCAGCTTCTCTTGTAAGAGAATGGATCATCTGCTGTGAAACTGCGAGCGGATGCAACCGTCTAAACAACTTTAAGAAAAGGACTACGCCCGGCGTACCGTGCATTAAAGGATAGGCAAGCCCTTCATGCATGCTGCGGTGCACTGAAGGGGGCTACAAAGTATAGAACGGCAGCCGAGGACCCACCATGGGTAACTCCTCTCCTGACTCTTGTTCACATTAGCCGCGAATAGTTGCTAGCTTTGCTTGATACTGTTTGTGAAACGAATCTGTTGTCCGAGGAAAGTGGGCAGAAATGCAATTTACCTGTTCACTCCTCAGTGCAATCTCTATGCCTCAGGTCGGCTGACGAGCGACAGAACGCAATCTTTGGCAAGGCTATAGCAGTCATCTCTAGTTCACATCAAAATTGGGTTCAGCATTATGGCCTTGACTTCCATGCTGGAGCCGTGTATTGTGACTTGGATCCTTGGCATGCCGTGGGGATCCAGTGGAAGGTGGGCATGCTGCCACAGCTGCGCTCTGATTATGTTATTTTGCCAAGGTGCTCTAAGAAAAAGCAACTCCTGGTCTCGACAGCCTTCAATTCACCTCTGGTGAGTGGAGGAGAATCGGTACCTCAACAAGGTGAGGCAGAGCCTTCATGTGGGTGGCTTATCAGCTCAGCAACTCAGTGGGAGAAGAGGGTTCAGAGCATGCATTCCGCCCGCCCTAGTGAAATACCCTGACACTGTTGTTCGTTGAACAAGGGCTTAGTCGGATGTTCTGATAAGAAGCAGCTGCACAGACACAGAGGTTATGTGCATATGCTCAATATTGAAGGGCTCCCAGCAGGCCGGTCGCTTGCTCTTTGTCCAGCGCACCGGTTTGAACTAATCCCCCGGTCAATCCCAATATGCGTTCCGTGGTGTCGCAAGCCTATACAATATCAAAAGGAAATTATACGGCAGGCAGGAAGCTTGCAGAAGAAAGCAAAAGGCTGGAATTGACAAAAACCTTTTTTGCATAATCTGCTGTTGGTGCCGAAAAGCCACGAACGGCTGGAAATGTTCAACTTCAAACCACCAAAAAGGATCAGCGTGAAGCGAAAGTTTCCGATACGCCATACTGCCGAATGACGTTACAAACCACACAGAACAATAGTACACTCGATATTTGACTTCACACACGCAATAGTACAGATGCCCATTTACCATTTTAACAGGCACCGAACGGCTGTCCACACCAGCACTTGCAAACTTTAGTATTGCTGCATGCCGATTAGACTTGTAAATGACCCAGTTGGACTGCACCAGCAAGCTAATTGAGATTTTTTGTGAGCCTAGTACGCATAGCTGCGTGCATTTCTACATGGATGATCTCCTCTTCCATGGCCAAAGCGTTAAAGAGCACCTACAACACCAACGGAGTGCGCTTCAGTGTTGTGGGCCAAGCAGTGGCATGTAAAGGCACGAAAGTGTTTGCTTTTCATGCAAGCAGCCATGTTTTAGGAACTCCTTCTCGATGCAGAAACTGCGCCAAACCGGGGAAAAATTGACACTGTCAATGTGCAGTCTTCTCTACTCATTCCGCAGCCACAAGGACGATGAGAGGCTCTACGGGCTTTTGTCTTTATTTTCTAGAGAGGTTTCCTTTCTAAGTATGCTCGAATTGTTGCTTGTTTGCACGACATCCCTAAGATGCCGGAGTCTATCTCCTGGACAGGGAAGGCTGATGCCGCAGAAAGAACGCGTTTGTGGCCACCTTACATTTTTCCTAGTGCTTTCGCTGCCTTTCATGAGGCCCGTTTCGCTGCAAGAATTAATGCTAATTGGCGTGGCGGTGGGCGCCGTTCTCTGCTAATAGGGTGAAAGCTTTCCATGACAACAATTTATTGCTTGCATTTTCATCGCTTCATCGAATCCGGCCGGCGGCTGTCAGTGCGGTAAAATGAGCCCCATGCAGTGAGGCGGGGCGTGAAGAGGTTCCAACACTATTTTTGCATTCCGACTTTGGTCAGTGCCAGTTCGTGCAAAAGGAGCATGGCCATGCTTATCTGGGACATGGTAGGATTTTAACTTGAGTGTGAAATTATTGACGGTCCCTCTGGTGGTCTGGGATGTGTCCAGCGGCAGAGAAGTCTGAACTGCCATTCCCAGGCTCAGCAGCTGACCTGGCGGAAATGTCGCTGCCTTTTGCAAAGCGGCTAGCTTCTGAAATCATTGTGTTAGATCTGACAGTGGAATTTATTGTCCGACTGTTTGAGGACAAAGGTCAGGATGGCATCTGCTTCGCTATTGACAAACTTAGCAAACAAGCCTATTTCATCCCTTGATTCACCTCTGCAAACGGTTTAGGAAATAGCTCAATTATTCTTGACTCTTGTATGGATGGTTCACAGAATTCTCAAAAGCACTGTTTTTGATAAAGGTGCGAACCTTGTTAAAACGTTCGGGTATGCTTACCGGAGTATAACCTGCGAGTTACCTCTAGAAAAATGTACGAACACAGCGCATCAATCACACTCTTGCTTGCCACTCTTTTCTCAGAAAAAGTCAATTAATTGACTTGAGTTTCTTCCGAATGCTAGGTAGGTCTCAAGTACAACGTTGCCCGGTCCCCGATGGCTCCCCTCATCCCTGGAATACACCTAGGATCGTTTCTCTGAGCTTGGCCTCGTCTTGGTGGTTTCGATGCCCTGAATGACGAACGCACTGAGAGAACAAGTATCTAGGGCATGCAAATATTTGTGCAAAGCATAGGAGGCAAGTAGGAAATTATAATGAGCTGTAGTCGGCTGTGTGTTTTGAGCCTGGTCAAAACATTTTGGTGGATCGCCAGGCGTTGAGAGGCGCACCAGAAGGTGACCAGGCGAGGACAATTTTGCGGCAGGCTGGCTGGAACCCTTTGCCATTCTCTCATGAAACTGTGCTTTTACTTGCCTTATCAATCTCCCCACAAGTTCGAGGTTCCACAGAGCCTCCAACATTGGCTTCCTCAAGAAGCTTCTTCAGCCCCCCAAAAAAGCGTATCTTTTCGTGTAGAGGCAGAGAATCTACAGGGAGCCGTAGAAGTGCCGGATGCTAGGACTGTTGAGCTCCGAGGAGACAGTAGAGGGGAGTTTTCAGCCAAAAAAGGTGGAGGATGCCAGACCCAGTCATTGACGAATGAGCAGCTGCGAAGTCCGTGGCCTGGGGGTGAATCTGAGCCTTAAGCTGGCAAACAACACCGGTTGCCATGGACAATATGTATCTCGTTCCTTGATAATTTTCCTTCCCCAGCCGTGTTCTGCCTGAAATTGCTATCTCCATACATAAGTATGGCTTTTTCAGGTATCCCGGTATTACTTTCAAACAATTCTCTGCATCTGGACTTATGCGATGGTGATCCCAAATATTTTAACTCCAAGGTTTTGCTTATGCCTTTTCTTGGGCTTTGAAATGGACTATAATACACTAGCCAACTGCGTCTGCATGCAGGTATTGCTCTATGAAGGGAAGTGGCCTTGCTGAACTGGTGTGTATTATGAATCCTTTAACACATTTTACTTGCTTTCTCTTTCTCGTACAAGAAGACCTTTACACTTCATCACCCCGATGACGGCGAGTCACCGTACTGCTGTGATAAAGTTGGTTTGGTTTCTCGTTCCTTGTGGGCTAATGTTTGTGCCTTTTCCCCTCTCACTTCTCTGTGTATGTGTATGAACGCTTTCCTTTTCTTATTTGCACCGTTCTCTGCATTTCTTTATACTAGGTGAGTGGAGAGAGAGCGGGGATTATCCCGCTGTTTCACAGGCAGCTGGTCTGGATGAAAGCTTTGTAGCACAAAGGCGTGCGTTGCGAATTGGGGGCAAGCTGTAGCATAAATAGTCAATTAAATACTTTCTACTACACTAGTTATCTTCATGTATCGCATTTATTGCAGAGTACTGCGAGTTTTCTAGAAGAAGCTACAATGTTGTGCTCAGGGTTTGGTTGATGCTATGCGCAGCAAGCTGGTCCCTTGGAGTGCTTGAAGAGTGTAGCTACACACGCCCTAGCTGTCCCTCCCCCTTCACGTGTAGAGAGTTTAAGGGACTCGATAAGGGGAAGATGAAGTCGCTAGGGTGTTGTATGCGTATGTGCTGGGCAGCAGGTGAAATTAGCTGTGAATGATTAAAGTGCTCCGTGTCACGACATTTTTGGTCAAGCTAACAGTACTGTGCAATGAACAAAACACACTGGCATTTGAACCAAATAATCGATTTCAAACTAATTTTCAGTTGAATATAGCGTGTGTAGTAGAAAATGTTTGTTGAGTAGAAAATGTTCGAGGTAACCTAGCCTGGTACTTGCCCATGACACTAAAAATGTTCGTGAGCAGAATAAACATTCTTTTGCTTAGTGTGATCTTTGTAATGCTGCTATGTCTTCTTTTAGAATTCCTACATCCCCTCAGCACCGCCGCTCAGATCTGATCCGCACAGGGGACGTGAAAGCGGTTTCTCGTTGCTTTTACACCAAATCAATACAGCAGCTCTAGCATGCCGTACCCCTCATCTCTGCCGAACGTCGGCTATTGACCCAATCTACCGAACATCTGCATCGGGATAGGGTGATGCTTTCAGGGCTTTGCTTTAGCCATTATGACGACGGACGGCGCAGGCCCCACGCTGGCATGCACACGCTGGTTTGCGCTTTGTAGTTCGCGTTTGAGGTGTGGGTTTGGATATAGATGTGTCGAATTCCACTTTTGGGGAGATTTTGTTTTATTGAGAGGCCCTCAGGCGGCTTTCGTCTTTGCTAATCGAACCTGAAAATGGCACCGCGCTTCCTGGTCCTTGTTCGTCATGGTGCGTCTTCCCGTCGTGCTGCAGCTCAGCCGTACTGCTTCCGTTTGTGCTAACTTATGCTTCACATGTAGAGGCTCTGCAAATGCCAGAGGACTTAATGTCTAAGATTGAGGGTTTGGAGTGTAGGCTTTGCGTTCTGGTGATAGCTAGGGTTCTCGGGGACAGCTTTGGTGTGCTGGCGTTGAGGGCGGGTGCCTCCACAACAGGCCAACTGTGTGCACAAATCATTACTTTTCGCCTTTTTACAATGGCTTCTGCATATATTACTGTTTAATTGAACGAGAGGAAGGCTGAACGCAAGCAATTAGTTCTCTACAGTGCTTGAACATCTCCATGCATGGGTCCTGGCAGGCACATACGCAGATCCGCAGTGGAGCGAAATTTAGTTTAAGGCTGAACATTCGACCCTTTTGGCACTTGATATCGGGAGCTAGGACTTACTTGTGGCACTTTAGGACTTGAGTATAGCTGGAATGCCTGTAAGAACTACGAATTGGTTTACGGTTGTGGCGTCCTTCCAGGCGAGTCCTCTTGGAATAAGGAAAACCGCTTCACTGGTTGGACTGACGTCCCCCTGTCAGAGCACGGCCAGGAGGAGGCTCGGTGAGTAGACGGGTTAGTCGAGGACGTTTATAAGCGTTTAGGGTTTATTGTCCCTTTAGGGTCCAGAGAGCACGGAGAATACGCGTGTGGATACAGGGAGGCAGGAAAGCTCATAAAGGAGAAGGGCCTACAGTTTGATATCGCTTACACCAGCGTTCTGAAGAGGTGAGTGTTGAACCATAAATTCTGGTGTCAGGCTATCGGGTGTAGGGTTATTGGGTCACACTTTGGGGTTTGCCCTTATGAATGCAAAATATGGCTTTGCGGGTTTGGAGGGGGATTCCAGTAAGAAGATGTTGAGGCGTTTAGATGAGCACCTATATCCGTTATGTGGGGTGTAGGGTTAGCCTTGCGAACTGGTTCAAGTGACAAGCTTGAGAGACTTGAGGTTTTGGTTTTTTCCGCACAGGGCAGTGGAGACCTGCTGGACAGTGTTGTTAAACGCCGATCAGTGCTACCTACCCATCAAGAACACTTGGAGGTGAGGGGAAACTGGAGGAGATCGTGCGTGTTGCCTTCTTAGCATTCAAGGGATGGATGGGCTTCAAGTCATTGTATTATCTTCTTCACTGTCACTGCGCCTCTGGCTGACTCTGCTTTTCATTGCCCCTCTCCTTTTCCCTCTTTGGTACCATACCTTGACTTTACGCAGGCTGAACGAGAGGCACTACGGCGCTCTCCAGGGTCTTAACAAATCCGAAACTGCCGCCAAGCACGGGGAAGAACAGGTGGGCCAAAATTTTTGCATGGAGTGCATGGAATAGCGTTGTAGGTAAACTTGGGTGTTCATCAAGTATTGCGTCTACACATCCATTCCCGCCACGTCTGTATTTAGAAGCACATGCATGCAACTCTCATGCTCTAGGAACCAAGGTTTTTCAAACCAAACCGCGTCTATACACCGTATGGCGGGGACATGCGTACACTGGTTTCTCTTAATGTGGCGCCATGCTGTCCGCAGGTCAAGATTTGGCGTCGCTCCTATGCAGTGCCACCCCCCCCCCTTGAACCTCATGACAAGAGAAACGCAAAGTTCGAGGAGAAATACAGACATCTTCCTCAAGAGGTCCTACCGGCTACTGAATGTCTCAAAGACACGGTTGAGAGGGGTGCGTGTCTTTGGACATGCAGGGTTCCTTGCTTTTGAGGAGGGACGGTGGGGAGAGATGGTTGTGTTCTGCAACCTTTTACGTCATGCCAAACATTTTGAGAATCGTTTGTTTGAAAAGCAACTGTAGGGGGGGTGGGGCAGATGCACAGGCATGGCGTTAAAGAGCTCATGTTTTTGTCGTGCCTCAGTGTTGCCGTTTTATTTCGACGAAATCGCCCCGGCTCTGCTTGCTGAGCAACGCGTGCTGGTTGTTGGTGAGTGTGATTCTTCTCGACAAAAACAATGTGCCGCTCAAGTTGTCCATACGTAGAGAGAGGTGCTGAGCGGGGAAGCAACATTGATATAGAGCTGGCAGCAAGTCCCTGTATAGGGGTTCGATGCATGAATGTGCTTTACAACGAATTGAATTTGTTGGGCCTGTTTGTGTGCCTTCGGTTGTGGAACGCCGACACCCTGTTGTCACTACAGCTCATGGAAACAGCTTAAGGGGTCTTGTGAAGCACTTGGACGGAATGAGCGAGGAAGAAGTCCTCGAGCTCAATATCCCCACAGCAGTTCCCCTTGTCTACGAGCTCGACGATAACCTCAAACCCATCAAGAAGTATTATTTGCTTGACGAAGAGGAAGTCAAGGTAAGGAGGATGGCATGGACCACGCTCATTAGGTGCACAATGGGTATCTAGACGATTTGGTGGTGAAGGGTCCTCAAGTGGTCCCAGTAGACGCACATAGCTATCACGGAGATAGACTGATTGTTGCAATGGGGAACATCCGGGGGCTATGTGGCTTGTGTGTGTGTGCAGAAACGGATTGCGGCAGTTGCAAATCAGGGCAAGGCAAAGTAAATGCCATGATCACACTGGTTTTGTAGTCAAGTGGGCACTTTTGACAAATACATAACTTGAGACTTGAATTTGTGTGCTCATTTTAGCTCTTTGAGACGCAGCGAACGTGCCGTATAGGCGTTAATGGTCAATTATAGGTCGCTAGGCAGTTCCTTCACGACAGTCCATTTCTTTTTGTTGCCACACCCGAGTGTACAAGGGGCCATGCAAGCACCGCGATCGTAGTTTATTAAGGCTTATAATTCAGGTATACGCTCCAGAGGAGCGTGTCTGGCTCTAGAGAAGTCGTGAGTATGTGTGCTTGCACCAAAGGATACAGAAATAGTTAAAAGCATTCAGGATTTAGGATTATGCAGGAACTGGGGAATTTAACTTTACCTATTCCTATTGACTTAGTGGTAGTGCAGGACAGGCTTATGCGGCTGTCACGGGCACAAAGAAAACAACAAGGGGGGCAGGGGAGCACATAGGCGAGCAGGCTGAGACCTACGGTCGGCTAGGGTTGCTGAGAAGACAATGTTGCACAAAAAGCACTAGCCTCCGTGATGCAGCTTCAGGCCACGCAACTTAACTAGGCCCACAGCGCAGTGTGAAGTTCTAATTGAGCTAATCCACGGGTGTTCAGCAAAATAACGAATACATCGTACGGGGCCTTCCCGTGGCTTCTTACACTACTCAGTGCGCTTGTCGTTGAGTCGCGATGTGTCTCTTGGGTCCATAGGGAGGGTGACGGAAGGCCTTCACCTCACGAGCACCCGGGAGCTACTTCCTCGCCTGCGGCAACAGAAACAGGGACAGCAGTGCCCGGAAAAGCAGGGCAGCGCAGTAGGGGAGGGCTGAAGAAGCTGTTCCAGAAGAGGGGAGATTGACTACGCTGCTGCCTCGTCGCTGTCGGGGTGCGGGACCCTCGTCAGCGGCGTTTTGAGCTTTAAAAGCCTTTGTTCATGCGTGCAGCAGATGCTATCGGCATCCGCTGCTGATGAACTTGTGGCACGGCAGGCTTCGTTACTGTCTAATTGTGCGCTGCCGCGAGGAGGCAAAACAGGGACACATGAAGAACCCACGTCGTATGGAAAAGCTTTTCCGCATCACTGTATAGCCCATTCAACTCAAATAATAACTTGAATAAGGTTCTAGTGATTTGCGCAGCCAATACGACACTAGCACCGACGCGAAGCATCCATTTCCTTAAATACTCAAAAGGAAGGCACGTTGAAGCAGTATTTTTTCGAGGCGCTCACTGGCTCACGGAGAGTTCGGATGTATGCTCTTCATAAAAGACGGACCGCTCAGTAAGGCCTTCTTCTTCTATATAATAAACTCTTCAAGCGCTCGCCTTCATGGGATGTAAGGGAATCACATACTGAGTCTCCTGTCAGTAAAAAGAGAGCTGCGTACAAGGCACGCTGCTATGCAGTGCCACTGTTGCTGGCCATCCCTGGAATTCTGTCAGTGCAGAATCCCAGTGTATGGTAATAAGTAGCTGGAAAGCAAACTGAAAAATCCAGATATATAAACAGCACGTAACGCGCTCTATGTGGATGTATACGTACGTAAGCCTACGTTCAAGGCCAAAGATAGTTCCACATTGTGGGTGCGTACATAAGCGTGTAAGGAGAGGTGCATACCTAGGCCAACGCATACAACACCAGGAAGCGATCGCCCCACATCTCAAAACTTCAGTAGTATAACTAGAACACAGAATAGAGGTAGCTTATTGAGATACTAAATCTCGAAGTAGACAGTCCCTCGCGCCCACCTTCACACTTGTACTTGGAAGAAACTTGTAATCCAATTGCATCTACAGCCAATGGGCGCAATGGGCAACAGCGACATCGGATTAGGTAGTGATACCAACTGTAATGCTCCCTCTGCGGTCTCCTAGGGAGACACATAACTCCAGACGCAACAAGAACTTAATAAAAAGCTGTTGAGCGTATTTTCCAAAAGAATTCCCAACCTCCTGAGCGCGCTCATCAGAGCTGCCGGTATACTTGGAGAAGGACTGTTAAGGTGCGCATAGCTGCACCCTGTGAGTATTCCGAGCACTCATTGGTAGTTGCAAATAGATTCCGGCTCGCATGCACAAAACATTGCGCTTTCTTGTATTGGGTCAACGCTGGGGTGCAATAAATGAGATATACATACAACTAAACCAAATAGGCGATTTTAAACTAATTCTTGGCCCAAGCTAATTGGTGCAGTATAGTGTTGATGTTTAGCTTAGCCGATTACAGGCAAAAATGTAGCCCCGCATCAAGGGCTGTTCAAAACGGGCGCACATGTGTATGCATCCAATTCTTATACCTGCATACGTGGTACTCGCTCTCCCTTGTGCTCTTCAGCTATGCCTTGGTGCACGCGGTTCGTGTGCCTACACCGTAGCAGGCAATGCCCGGCCAAAAATGGCGGACCTTACCCATCCCTCCAAGCACTGCCACGCGGCTTTGCCGTTAATTTGCAGAGAGAAATACACAAAGCGCCAGAAAGGAACCGTTAAACCCCCACCTACGAATGTAAGAAAAGGCAGCTGCACCGCTGCCTGACCAGCACCAACGAAGCACAGGGCCACACCCCTCTGTTCTATAAAAGCAGGGAGAAGAGAGAGCACGCTTGAGCTTCCAGGCACCTCATCGCTTGCTTCTGCCTCTCCTGATGGCGTGGAGACGTCATTTACGAGCCCACCTGCTGATACCCTCGAGAGCATGGAATTGAAGATAAGGGCTAAGAACTCCCCCTGACGCTTTGCGTTCTGAGCCGTTGGTACAGGGGGGAGGTAGCTCCTATCTATTTTCTGAACACACACGCACACACGCTATGAATCGTAAATCACAGGACCTGAAGAAATGGCGGGGAAGAAGCAAGGCCAGCCAAGGCGTGAATACACCAACGGACGCCGGGACATGTACAAACAGAAGCACCAATGGAGGCAAGGAGACACCGGGAAAAAGACGGCAAATAGATGAACACTATCGACCGATACGGAGAGAGGCTCCTAAAAGGGCAGACGGAACACTTTGTTGGTCGAAGGTCTCACCACGATAATAAGCACAGAAGGATATTCTACGGAAGCGATCCTCACGCACAGACTTGTATGGAGGCATGGAGACTCAATGAGGGCCAGGGAGACGCCTAAGGGCACGCAGAACGAGGATAAATAACTTACCGTTAAAAGATCCGAGAACTCCTCCTCAGTCAATCCGCTGCACTTTTCGACGGCGGAAATCTCTGCAGCGCCGTCCAGGATTTGAGGAAACAAAAGAGCCATACGATGTTGTTGACTGGACAGCCAGACGGGGTCTGCACGCATATTCACATATGCTCCTGACACTCACTAATCTCTAAATCCTCCTAAAACCCACTCGAACATTTCTGAAAGCTTGGTCTTTCCCAGAAGGATCAAATCCGACTCAATCTGGTATCACGAAGAGACGTCACTACGTCTTTTATTTGAGTCGTGCTCCCACAAACGCTGATTTTACACCCCAACATCTACACCATGACATCTAATGTACCTGCAAGTCCTTCTTTGTTCCCTTCGCTGGCCATAAGAAAGAGTTGCCTTGCATAAAGAGAAAGAGGAGGGGGAGAAACAGTACAGCAGTCCCCGAAAGCAAAGACGCCATCCGTCCCCAGGACTCTAAATGAAGGATCGACAAGCAGGCGCTTCTGAGTATCGAGCTGAACTTGCGACTGCCGCTCCTGCTGCTCTGGGAGCAAGTATTGCTGTGATAGTGCCTCAGTGAGAGCTCCAGCTATCTTTGAAGGTTGCACACCTGCGGCCCAGAGGACAAGTCCACAGGGGACGCTTGTCTCTCCAGATCCTGAGGTGACCTTGTCTTTTGCTGCCGTTTCCAGACTCCGAATGACGACACTATTGGCCGCTACGGAGACCACCAAGGAGTTAAAGAGCACTTCCACTTTGTTTTTCTGCAGTGCCAGCAGCGCTCCGTTGCTGATCTGTGGTTTGTAGCTCTTGAGGAGCCGATCTCCCGAATCAACCACCAGTATAGAGAAGAAGCGCCGCAGTTCCGGATACCATCTAGCTGCCTCTCCCTCTAGAAAGTCCCCTAGTTCTGCCGCTGCCTCTACTCCTGCGGGGCCCCCGCCAACGATTACGAACTGTAGCAGCTGTCTCCTTATTTCATCTGTCGCTGTGGGTGCTGCAGCTCGTTCCATCACCTGCTGCAATCTTTCCCTTATGCGCTGAGCGTCATCGACATTCCTCAAAAACAGTGCATGCTGCTCCACCCCCGGTATTCCAAACGTCTTTACCTCCCCCCCTATACCGATCACTAGGAAATCAAAGGGCTCCTCCCAACTACCTTCTGAAGGCGAATGCGCCAAGCATCGCGCAGTCTTCTTTTCGTAGTCAACAGATACCAGCGTTCCCTGTCTATACACACCACGGGCATTCGGATCTCCTCCCGCAACCAGCAGAGTGCGCAGTGGGACAGAGCACGTAGAAGGGTGCAGGACACCCCCTATGCAGGAGGGCAGAAGAGGAGTAAAGGAAAAAAGGGGGCTTGAGGACACCCACACCACCTCATATTGAGTGAAATCTAAATTAGAAACGAACGCGACAGAAGCGAAACCACCACCACAGACAACCACGCGGCGCCTGCGCTGTTGAAGCGCCGCTGGCAGAAAGGGATGCTCAGCAGTCTTTTGCAAACGCAACAAGCGTAAGTACACCAGCACGGAAGACAGAACACGTTTCAAGCTGTAATACTTCGCTACAAACAGTCCGGGGAGAGACGGAGGTCTCTCCAGTGCCGTACGAAGATCTTTCAGAGGAACAATGGTATCCATCTCCTCTTTGTCGACACTTTTGAAAGATGATTAGGGCCTAGGCAAGGGCAGTATAACGTTAGCTACACTGAGAATTCACCAGGAAGCATATTTAATTAAGGAAATTAAGGCTGTGTGGGAGGTGAAAAGCAGAAAGCTGAGATATAGTGCCGGAGTCATGGGCTTTGCCTTCGACTGGTCCTGCATCGAAGTGGGGAAGGAGAGGGAAGTGAGTTTGTTTGGAACGAAGAAAGAAAATAGTAACATACACCTAACTTTTGAAAGGTTTTATTGAAGCTGCTGTCATATTTTCACTCAAAGGTTCAAGAATTTCATGGCAACCTACCTCTCAGCAGTGTACTTCATTCCTTTCAACACGTAGGGAGGCAGGCAGGCCTGGACTGCTCGCTTCTCGTGCGCTTTGAAGTAATTCACCTGTATGAATATTCTTGCTATAGGTAAGCACACTAATGCTGTGCGCTTCAGCGTATGTCGCCGCGTTTCGTTGCAACATTTCATAGCGTTGACATACCATCTCTCCGCTTTCCTTTCACGGCATCGGACTCGGCTGCGTGCACTCTGCCTATACGCGGATACACGAGTACATGTTACTATTTCCTTTCTTCGCAACGGACAAGCCAACTCCGCGTTCAGCGCGCGCTACGGGGCATTGCCTTATGTGAGAAAAGATTTACAACAGACAAGTTTATCAAGGTGATATGCCATCAACTACAACTTAATAACTAGTAGACCTGCTCAATCTAGCTCCCGTATAGCCATCAATCATCGTGACAGAGGACCTCTCCTGAGCACGGAGTTACATGGACTGTCAGATCCATTCAGGGTCGATTTTTGTTGGCTTACAAACTAGCGAGCTACCTCTAAGCAGCCAAATGTCTCCATGTCCATCAGCTGGGTGTCTTACTGACTGAATTCAGGCCCATTTACATCTAGTTACTTCGAACGGTCCTATTACTCACAGAGCGATGGGCCTGAGGGCACGTGTAGGCTTCCGTCCAAGAGTTCCCAATTGAATGTCTTCATCCCCAAACCCTATTAAAAGCACAAAATCAAGCTACTGTCTGTTCTCTGCAAACAAACACCCAGAGCCTCTCCATGCCCTTCCACCACATGTAGGGGAGGAAGGAAAACTGGTTTCAACTAAATGTACTATCTGAGCAGTTCGGCCATTCATGGGTGCAACATAGCGCATGGACAAATGGCAACCCCCCAATGGATCTCCGACGGTGTACAAGTGACCTGTTTGTGTCGCGACTTTGCATACCCTGGTTCACAGCGAGTACGCTACTGATCCGCTCTACAGAAGCGAATGTGAAGAGTGTGCTCGCGCAGACCAGATGTACCACCCCAAAAATCAGGGCCGGATGATGAGCCCCCTTCCAAAAGATCAAAGGGCTGTGATCCAACCTTCACAACAATGACTGCTGTGATATGACGTAACGTGAGGTGCAATCATCACCATGTTTGGTGTCTACGGCCATACATACGTAATGATTCTTGCTGAAGAAAGAGGTCCCTTCATCCGAACGTACTCTCCCAAGAGGTCGCGGTTGGTTCAACTGCTCCCCATCCTCCCTTTCGGGTTTACCTTCCCTCGGGCAGAGCTAATGAGCATAATCTGCGCTGCAGTATATTGTGTGCCTCTTTTTGCCTTCCTGAGATGCTGGAAGATTCGGGCTTCAGGTTAGTGGTACACAGCAAAAGCGAGATATCTAGCTAAGCAGACAGCAAAAAAATGGAAGACTGCAAGGAGCTGTGAACGCTCCTAGGCAAGTCAACCAATAAGCGGAATACAAGAGCCCTACCATTGCATAGGCCTGGAAAATTGCTGCAGAGGGAAGACGATATTGCTCTCAGTTTCTTTAAGCATTTGCTATTCAAATCTCGTTTTCAAAATCGGAATTTCCTTTGTGAGAAGTGTTCTTCTCTGCATTTCTCCAAGTTATTCTAAGAAAGATCTCCGCCTCACTTCTAGCTGAACAAACCGTCTATTGCCATAAGACTTACAGAATCTCCCCAATATCTGAAATTCTGGGTGTGTCAGCCCTACGTGCTAACAGACAGGGGAAAGCGAGCTCCACTGCACAATGTTTCCTTCCAAGAGGCACTCAATCCCTCCAGAATGAATAACTCTAGTTCACAAATTAAACCCCAAATTATAAATCGAAACACCAATGTGGGTCTCTGCACATGCCACGAGCTGCGGCCTCCGCAATTGGCTCATCTAGGAAAAGGCACAGATGCGGCAGGCCAATAGTGCACACAGCCGTAAATCATGATCATTTTTTCCTAGAGGCATCACTTGACAAGCAAGGGAAAGAGAGAGGGCCGTTCGCCTCTCATTCGAGGAAGGCAACTGGCTCTGCACTTGGTTCGTCGCCACAACGGATATAGTGTTGCAGCTGCATATTTCCAGTGCATGAGCTGAATAGCAGACAAGGGGAGACACCGAATCAAGTTAGCTCCCGCTGCCCTTGAGGCTGCTTTTTACTCTGCTCTTCCTTCCCCCCGCCCCTCCTCTTCCCTAAGATGTACCAACTGAACTGTGGATAGAAATGAAGAGAGAGCGGAGATCGAAAAACAGAAGCGAAAGACATTTAGGCATCTTGCACTTCTTGCGTTTGACGCCGAGACGCTGCAGGCCGCTGACGGCTCCGAATCTGAACGCCCCAAAGCAACTCACAATGGGCTTACGGGCATCTATAGTTTGCTGCAGGGGTTGCCACTGCTAGGAGTTTACCGGACGGCACAACTTGAGGGGCAGCCAAACACAGACGCCCAGGGAACGTGAAGCAGTGCACAAAGTGGAGGAGAAGAAAGAGAACAGCAACGCAGGAAGAGCAAGTAGGGCGTGTGAAACGTGTTCAGAAACCTCGACCTCCATGAGCGACTAAAAGAAGTCCCCCTCCCCAAAGCACCGGGAAATACAGATGTCACAGTGAGATGCACAGAGACACACGGGAAGGCAGAGCGTAACGAAATAGCCAGACAGACGCAACTTGTCGATTCAATTATGAGAAAAAAAACACCTCAGGCAGCAACACGCGAGTACATTCACCGCAGCAAGACCAGCTCAGTCGGCCCTTTCACAGCAGCCCGTACCGCGATGCCCTCTTCGCTGTCACCGGTGCTGCTACATTCTGGATATTTTGCTTCTTCATCTTTGCGCCACGCGAAGTCGTGATGTATGCCTCTGTGCTTCACTTGGGCGCGAAGCCGTCGGAGTTGCGCAACTGCACACAAGCACCGAAAACACAAGCCAGAATAAGAAGAGCACCAGGCAAGCGAAGAGCGCGCAAGACCCTCCAGAAGGGAGCCGCGCGTGAGTCTCACGCGACGACGAGGCACTGCAACTTACTGCCTGCATCCAGCTGTTGTTGCTCCTCCGTATCTTCCTCCGTGGCCTCTTGCTGCCGGAGCAGCAGCTCCTGCTGTCGCTGCTGTTGCTGTTGCCTGCGTGCAATTGCTTCCCAGCCGTCTTCCTTCGCCTCTACCCAGGGGCCTATCATGGGGCCTTCCGTGGCAGGCACGACGCGGCGTGGCACAGCGGCTTCCGAGGTGTCTTCACCTTCCTCCGAAGCCGTGTCAGCGCTTGCTTCTTCGCTTTCCGAGGCACGATGCGTTCCTGCTGCTGCGTCGAGGCTCTCCTCCACTACTGGCCCTTGCTGGGGGGAGGCCTCCTGGGAATCCCCGGCAGAGACTCCGGCAGTCGCTTCTCCCGCAGTTTCTGCGTTCGCATGCTCTTCAGCGGTGCTTTGCGCACTCTCCCCTCTTCCGACAGCTCCTCTTGCGGCCTCCCCGCTGCTCCACAGACTTGCGGCTGCAGCCGCTGCCTCGGCTGCAGCCGCGGCAATGGCAGCAGCTGCATCCGTTGCTGGTGAAGGCTGCTCAGCCTCCTCACGAGGACGCTTCAGAGGGAGTGCACGCTGCAGCTGCTGTTGCAGATCTTCTCCATGCAGCTGTTCACCGCAGCCTCCATAAGGCCTCCTCCGCATCTGTTCTTGGGGCTGTTGCGGAGGCTCGTCCTTGTAGAGGCTGAGGCTTCTGGGCCCGCGTTTGAAGACATAGCCTGTGGGGATGCTGCTGCTTGTGTTGCAGGGGATAAAATCCGGCTGGCTAGTAGCATGGGTGCTACTGCGAGAGGCGGCAGCGGGTAGGGGTGAGGCCCTTTCGGCAGAAACAGCCGCTGGCGTGGCACGCGGAGGAGCATCTTGAGGCGCCGCTGTTGTCTTCACGGGCACTCGAGGAGCAGGTGATGGTGTTGCAGACGAGGGTGGAGGCACAAAAGCATGCGTCGTGGCTTCGAGGGGCTTCGCATGCGTCGTGGCTTCGAGGGGCTTCGCATGCGTCGTGGCTTCGAGGGGCTTCGCATGCGTCGTGGCTTCGAGGGGCCTCGCATGCACCGTGGCTTCAAGGGGCCTCGCATGCACCGTGGCTTCAAGGGGCTTCGCATGCGTCGTGGCTTCAAGGGGCCTCGCATGCACCGTGGCTTCGAGGGGCTTCGCATGCACCGTGGCTTCGAGGGGCTTCGCATGCACCGTGGCTTCGAGGGGCACTTTGAAGGAAGGAGGAGGAGGAGGAGCAGCAGCAGCAGTTGCAGCGTCCTGTTGCTCTTTCTTCACAGGCTTCTTTACAGACAAAACACGCAGCACCGGCCGTGACGTGGCAGGGGTGGCTGCACTCCCTGCAGCGGCAACAGCAGGTACAGCAGCAGCAGCAGCAGAGGCTGCTGCTGTTGCTGCAGCATAGCCGACCCCCGGGGGAGGCGTCCAGGAGACCTCTCCAGTTGTCTTGTGGCGAAAGAAGGGGAGCCCCTGATCCGCCACGAACTCCCACATGGTGCTGCTGCTGTCACTGCTGCTGGTGCTGCTAGCGGCAGGAACAGACTCCGCTGCGAAGTGAGCACAGCACGCAGAGTCAGGAGGCGAGATGCGAATACTGCAGGGGGTGTGTGGATACCGAGACACTAGGGTTCAGAGCACGCTGGCTGCCGCACACACGGAAACTGCACGGCGTCTTGACGGACCCCAAGCGCCCCTATGCTTGCTACAGTCTTACAGCCTCCCCCCCTCCGTTCTTGGTGAAACTGCTGGATTCTAGCCTTTTCCTCCTTTTGCATGCGCAACACGTCATACGCAGAGGGCCCCCCTGGAGGCATGGGGGCTGCAGCTGGGTATGGCCACCCCCGGGATGCAAATATACGCGTCTCATCGTCATGCATCGCCGCAGCAGCGGCAGCTTCCATCTGCTGCAGTTCCTTCTGCAGCAGTCGCTCCTGTTGCTCCTTTTCCCTGTGGCGTTGGTGAGCTACGGACAGCTGTTGGCGTGCATTCTCCAGGTGACGCGTGGACTGCTCATGCTTCTTCACGTTCTGCATGCAAAAAGAAAAAGCCCCAGTGGCGAGTTCGAGGGGGATCCGTAACGCATTCAGCAGACACTACAGATGCGCTGAGCAGGCAGGGGGGGAAACAGCACCCGCAGCAAAGTGGACGTACCATGACATGGCCACTGAGCCACGTGTTGCAGATTTGGCAGTAATGCTTCTTCTGAGACACCCACCGCTCCGTCATCTTCGGGGCGGATGCTACTTCTGCTATGCTTTGGAGCGCGCAGTCGACAAGAATGGTGTTAATACTACTGCTGGTGTAATGGCTGCTGCCGCCGCATGAGCTGGCAAAGCCACAAACAGCCAGAGGCGAGAGCGCAAGCCTCAGGTTAGGTCGACATGGGCCCTCTGGTAGTCGCCGTCCGTTTGTCTGCGGCTCCCTGCTGCAGTGCTGCTCCTGCTGCTGCAGCTAAGGCGGCTAAGGATATGCGCAAAGCTGAAGCCGTCGCTCCTATCGCTGATCTGCTTCTGGAAATGCTGATATCGCCGTCCTCGCTTTCTTCTCGTGTTGCAGCTTCTGATGAGGAGATGCCCGCTGCGCTATGCGCTACCCCGCGGCGGAGAGAGAAGCTTGACGGATTTGTGGTCGGAGGCTTCAGCACGAGAGGCCAGACGACTTCTAAACCGGAAAATTGCACGAGAGAACACGCCACCGAAGCACACGAATAATTTGGGGGAGGGAGGAGCGCCTTCCTTCTACAGATGCCGCGTGAATGGCATCTTGCGCTGCTGAGGAGATCAGGGGCCCCCCCTCTTCCCCCCCTTTCCCGCAACCCTTAAGGCTAAAATAGACGATTATTAATCCGAATTCCTTCGTTTCTCGTAACTCGTGGCGCCTTGGAACCAGCAAAGAAAACTTCAGGATCCTAGCAGGCAACCGTTGCAATGTGTGTTTTTCCCTCCTTCTTGGGTGTACATACAGCGGCTTCCTCGACACAGCGCCGACCAACCACTGCACGCGTGCTCTGCAAAGGGCCAATACGCCGGCCGCACACAGGTCATGAGTAGCCTCGATTTCCACTTCTTTTGCGTCATTCTTTGAATTTCCTCATTGCCTTTCAGTCAAAGGGATCGTGGGACGAGCAGCCGCCACCCCGACGCGCAGGGAACCACCTCGTTGCAAGGTTTCTGCTGTCCGTCGCTACCAACAGCTGAACAGGGTGTACTTCCTTTCTCACACCCACCCACCCGCATCAGCGAACGGCAGCTCCTGAAAGCTGCTGCTCCTGTATGTCATGTGGGGTCGCACATTCGTTTGCCTCTCTGTCGCTCGCTGGTGGTGCACTGCTGAGCGTTCCTTCGCCTTTCCAGCAGTTCGAGGGGGCCCTTTCCCCCCGTCATTCGACGCCTCCCTCGGTGCCTTCCTTTCCCCGAAGCCCCCCAGTCGGCCCAAGAGAGCGCTGGCTTCCAACGCATTCAGCGGCAGCAGCAGCAGCACTCACAACCAGATCGTCAGCAGCGACAGCAACAGCGACAACAGCAACAACAGCAGCAGCGGCGGCAGAATAGACACAAGAGCTATGGATGGCATAATGAGGCAGACGCATGCCGCTGAAGACAGCCCATCTATTTCGTCCGCTCAAGGCAGACTCTCTGCGGTTCGTGCCTTGATGCACGAGCATCAGCTGGACGCTTGGCTCGTGGATGATGCAGATGCTCACGGCAGTGAAATTCCTTCACCCGCCTTCGCAAGGCGGAGCTTCCTCTCCTCCTTCGATGGCTCGAACGGACTTGCACTCTTGACACAACAAGACGCCCTGCTATGGACTGATGGACGGTGCGATTACACACACACAACCGCCTGATTTCGAAAAAGGCAGTCACCTTAACTTCAGCCTATAAGCATTTCCCTCGCTCTTCCTATCGATTGTTTTCTCTTTGTTATCCTTCTCCTTCTTTCTGTCTTTCTTTCCCTCTCGTTGTTTCCCTCTTGCCACTTTTAAATATATCTTTCCTGTTCATGGATGCGCGTTCAAGTACGCCTCATTCTGCATGCATTGAACGTCTCTTGGCCTCCTATACTGTGCCGATGCATCTGCTCGTTCGTTTTCAGCTACTTCACCCAGGCGGAACAGCAGCTGCCAAAGGGTCTGTGGCGCCTCATGAAAAGCGACTTTGGCGATACTCCGACCCTCACGCAGTTCCTCAAGCAACAAACACAGAGTTAGCTCACCAACACACGCATAGGGATTTCAGCACAAAGCCACCATCGTTGTTTTATATGCGCACGAGAGGGGGCACAGGGTAAACAGCTTGCCGCTCGTCGTGAGATACTCTGTATTCATGAGAAAACCTTGTTGCGAACAACCCTTGAGTCTCCAGGGTAGTTCTCCCAAGGGTTCACAGGGGAACATTTACTTGGGTGTGTTTTCTTGGCTTCGAGTGCTTGTGTGTATGTATGTGTATGTATGGATGTGTATGTATGCACCGTATGTGTGGGTATGTATGCACTGTATGTATGTGTATGTATGCACTGTATGTATGTATGCACTGTATTTTTATGCACTGTATGTATGTGTATATATGTACATGTATGTATATATGTGTGTGTGCATGCGCATCTGTCTCAGTCCGCCGACTGGGAGTTGATGGCTTTTCCACCTCAACTAGCCTTCTCAATCAAATAAGAGAGGCGGGTTTCCACCTCTTCAGGGGAGCCTCAGTCCCCCAGGTATCTTAGACCCTAAATATGCATGCGAGCCTGTGATGATGCCAGCCCCTAGAGGCGGCAGCCTTAAATAGGGGTGTTCTTGCGTTGTGTGGAACAGGAATCTTTGGACACTTCCTGGCGGTACGTTGTGCCTCTTGAAAAAAACCTCGTGGATGAAGTGTGGGGCCCTTTAAGGCCTCCTCTTCCGAGCAGCCAGGTGTATGTACACCCCAAGGAATACAGGGGTGAGGGCTTTGCAGCCGCTGGGGTGGCGACGACATGAGCCGTAAACCCCTGCTTAGTGAGGCCTTTTACCTTTTGCGTCTTGTGGCGTTCAAATATGCGGCGGTAGCAGTGCTGGATTGGCCTCCTTATCTCGAAAGTGCAGAGTTTAGTCGTGCTTGGTCTGGGGGTTTGACTTTCCGATGTGGTCGTAGGTTCTTCCACCCGGGAGAAGGCAGCGAAGGCGGTGGAAGCGATGGCCAAAGAAGGAGCTGATATTATGTTGCTTTCGGTAAGCTGTTGGAATCCGATTTCGCGCTTGTTTCTAGCCTTTGAAGTTGATCGGACTTGCAAGGGCGTTCCATACTAGGAGCTGCATAGGCGGAACAAGCTGGATGCAATAATTCCAGACTGGCGGTCTGGGATGAGTATTTGGTGCAGAGCCTTGACGACGTGGCCTGGCTGACAAACTTGCGAGGCGCAGACACCCCCAACAGCCCCCTGTTTTACGCATACGCGTTGCTAGTCAGGAAGACTCCTGAGAAATCTTCTGGTGATGGGGTTCGCGAAGGGGAAGAAGGAGGCTCACTGCCTTGGCGTTTGGTGTGCGTTCTCTCTCCACACTCAGTTGTGTATTTTTCGTCTCCCTTCTGCACTTGCCCCTCCCATCGTGCCCCTGCAAGGCCTCCTACGGCATGACTGCCTTTTCTTCGACCAGTGTATCGCTCCTCTTCCCACAACTTTGGACGTTTGCTCTTGCGGTCTGCGGCTTAGGGTGTACACTGACCCCCACCGGGTGTCTCCTGAGGCAAGGGCCTCGCTCACGCAAGAGGGGGCTTTCCTGCGCCCCTATGACCACTTGGCTAGCGACATCCGGCTCATCCTCAGCTGTAAGGAGGAGGCGCGGCAGCAACAACACCAGCAGTCTCAGCAGGATCAGCAGCCAAGAGAGACGCAGCAACGGCAGAACACGCAGCAACAAAAGCAGGCTCACCTGGATGGAAGCCTCCTTGCGAAGGTGGATTGGATTTTATCAGGGGGTTCAGACTGCCCCTGCACACCGACACCCAAGTCGATGATTCAGGAGGCCTCAGAAGCGATGCGTTTAGCATGGCTTGATCCAAAGATCAACCTCGCAATACACCGCATCTTCGCAGAGTCAGGAAATCTCCTGGTTAAGGAAACCCCCGTCGCTGTTGCGAAGGTGTGGACCTTCTGTACACCCCGAACAGCTCTTCGTCCTGCGTTTTTTCCCCCAAGTCTTGCTGCTTCAGCATCACCTGTCTATTTCTAGTGCCAGAAATCCCTGCATGAAACATGGTGCAGAGCGGAGCCCTCTTCTGCGTCTTCAAAACGCAGAAAAAATACACCTCGTCGCTGCGTCTATAAATCGCTCTGACTCCGGGGTTGCCCGTCGGTCTCTATCTCTACACCCTGTCTATACACCGAGACACAGGCCATGCATAGGGGGCTCACTCACTTTAGTGAGAATGCTGCTGCTTCATGAAGACGCATATGCGCGCGTCTGTGTGTGTGTGTGGATGCTGCACGGCTTCGTGTGTGATCATGTCCACCATCCTACTGAGGAGACTGTGCGATCGGGGGCCGATGGGGGGATGGGTGGCTTCTCAAGGTGATCCGCATGCATCGATAGGCCTGATAGTCGCTAACAAAAACAGTGTAACTGCTCGTCGAGCTGTATGTTTCTGCCTTCTTCTGCGCTGCTTCAGGCCGCCAAGGACGCGAGAGAGATCAAGGGAATGCGAGAAGCACACGAGGAGGACGCTGTAGCTCTCGCCACTTTCTTCTGCTGGTTCGAAAAGCAGCTGCTTGCGAACGCAAAGGCAGCAGCTGACAGCAGCTCCCAGCAGCAGGAGCAAGAAGACGCACAGGGGTGTCTGCTGACCG